TGTCCTTGTTTCTACATAAGTTCTTCCAAGTACGCTCTTGGTCTATATTTAGTCCGATTGTCCATCCAACGGCCGGTCATTCTTTTAATCATACCTTCTTAATTGGACAGGATGTCTTTAGTTTCAAACTTTCCAAGGAGGAGTATTTTGGGGAACCGATTGGTCTCCCCTTGGTCACTAGCATCCTTATATAGTGCTCGTATAGGATCCTACTTTTACTTTCTTTGGTATGTTCATCTCGTAGTGTGATGTGCTATTTTTCTTGACTTGGTTAGTCCCTGTCTAAGGTTCTTTGGGCTATTGCTTTCTAAACTTAATATTTTATTTTCTAAAAAAATATTTTTTTGTTATTTTTATCATAATTTGTTTTTTTTTATTATTGAAATGAGTTCTAATTATAAATAGCAATCATAAATCAAAAATAGAATATTTAAAATATATTATAAATAATTAATAATAAGAACTAAAATTAAAAAGTAAAAAAACGTTATTTAATTATATACAAAATGTAAAAGGATTATCTATAAAAATCAATTGTTAATACTTGTGTTTATTGAATATATAAAATTAGAATTTTCTCTTGAATAAATTAACTATATTTTGATAGACTTTCTATTTATATAAAAACTATGATTTTATAGAAAACAAGAAATGTAATTCCACATTCTTCTTCATAAAAACAATCTTTAACTTACTAATCTATAAATATAAGGTAAGTGAAGTATATTATTTAAAGTACTATTTATTTATGATTTTTTAATATTTAGAATATATAGTATGCTTCATTAATAATTATATAATTATAAACTAAATTATCTAGATTTAAAATACTTTATAGTAAATATATAATTTGAAAATTACATTATAAGGCATTTTTATTAACAAATAGTAAAATTAAGAAATTTTTAAACTTCATTTTAATTTAGATAATGATTTAATATAATATTTTTTTTGAATATTTTATTATAATTTTTCCTTATATAAATTTAATGAATCAATTTATCAATACATTAAGTATCCTAACAGAACAGCAACTCCAAGAACATACCCAGAGTCAGTTGAAGTAGAACCATTATTGTTATTTGTATTATTTCCATTTGTAGAATTATTTGGTGAAACAACAGAGGCACCACATTAAGTACATGCATTTAACTTGGTGTTCCATGAATACATATATGCTGATTAAGTATAACATTCTGATTCAAGTAATGTCTTAGGATCTGCAGGTGTACATTTACCAGCTACATTACGGCATATAGTATATTTAGTGGAATCCCAATTAGAGAAATATGTGCATTTTCCTGTTTAAGAATTATAAGTTTCACAAGTATGATCAACACAAGAACTAGCAGAAGTTGCTGTACCAGAAGTCCATTTACATCTATTAAATGCTTATTGGCAAGCATTGGAATCTTTAGAAGCAGCTGCACAATTTGTCATTAATGAACATTTTCCTGTTGTTGTGGTTCCAGTTGTAGTTTCAGTCCAAACACAGATTCCATCAGTTCCTCTAGAATTACATCCAGCTTTAGTTAGATATTTATCACATGTTCCTTTAATAATACATTTAGTTCCATCAGTAGTACAAGAATCAACAATACTACAAGCCAAAGCAGAAGTACCACCAGTTATATCATCACATGTCTTAACTCTACAAGTTCCAGCTGCTCCACCTGTACCTTCTACCCAAGTACATAAACCTTCAATACCCAAAGAATTGATACATGTACTATTTGTAGTGTATTTAGTACATGAATCTTTTGTTATACAATTTGTACCATCACTTGTACATGTAATTAATTAAGATGAACATGCATTATGATTAGCTCCTTTAAGATCAGAACAATTTTAATCTCTACATGCACTTGTAGTTTCATCCCATTGGCACTTGCCTGTTGAAGTAATTTATTTACTTGAATTCAATTAAACACCATCTTTATTATAACGACAAGCTTCTTTTACATATGTTGAACATGCTGCTAATTCAATACAAGATGATGTTCCATTTGTAGTGCATTTAGGATTAGCATTAAAACATTCATTATGAGTTGTAAATAAAGCTGAATTACAACTTACATATTTAGTACAAACTTTATTTGCTGCTCCTAAAGTCTAAACTGATGTAATACATTCTCCATCTGTACCAGTTACACATCCTCCATCTACATTAGTTTTGGCACATTAAGTAATACCAATACATAATTTGCCATTAGTAGTACATTTATCTGAAATGTATTTACATAATGGATCAGAATTCCACAAAAGACTTCTACATGAATCATATAGGAAACATGCACCTTTAGTATTACTATCAGTATTAGGATAATCTGGTAACCAAATGCATGGTCCATCAGTTCCAACAACACAGGCTGCTTCTACTGTTGTCAATCCACAAGTCTACATAAGAGCACATTTACCACCTTTACCAGCAGTACATTTACCTTTAAAGTTCTTATCAGTAGGATTTTAACAAGCAGCATGAGTTGTACCAGAAATATCTTTACATTCTTAATTTCTACATTTTGATGTATCTGAATCCCAAGCACAAATAAATCCATTTTAATCAGAAGTACAAGCAGCCTAAACTTAAGCTGCTGAACAAGTAGATCTTTAAACACAACCACCACCTTATTAAGTAGTGCAAGTAGCTCCAGGAGGTTTTGGAGTAAAGTATTATAAACATTAACTTTCAGAAGTATAATCTTTAGGTGCTGTATTACATGTCTTTAATGTACAATAAGCTATTTTAGTTGTATCAGTAGGAACAATCCATTCACATGCATTACCAGATGAATCTGTTGTACATCCTTTTTAACTTAAAGCTAAAGCACAAGATCCTCTGTTTACACAAAATTTTCCATTTGTAGTACATTTTTTATCCTTAAAGAGTGCTGCACAAGCTATATCATCAGTGTAATTATAATCTTCACATACTTTAGTTTTGCACTTACTTCCAGTATCAATCATTGTACAATAGAAAAGATGACTTTTACAATCAGAAGAATTAGTAGGACTGACTGCATTTTCACAAGTTCTTGTAACACATGATCCATTACCAGCAACTTCAATCCAAATACATTTATTTAATTTGGAGTCAACATCAACACATTATCCTTTACTCATACCTTCACAAGTATCTGGAATAGGAACACATCCTTTATCATCTTTATCAACTGTACATTTAAGTTTCATAGGATTACCATAAGTAGCACAAGCATCATGTGTTGTGAATGTATCATCTGCTTATCCACAACTAGCATCTCCACATTTTTTGGTTGAATCATTCCAATAGCAATTTAAAAAGTTACCTTCAGTATCTTTGTTCTTACTCTTTTTACATTAATTAGCTGTGTTATATTCTGAACATAATGCAAGTGCTTAACATCCACCTTCAGTAAATGTTCCATCTTCATTTTTCTTAGCTCCTAATGTACAATTACCTTCAAAGATATAACCTTAACAATCTTCAAAATCAGTGTATGTAGCAGGATCAGCAGATGCACAAGTCTTATCAACACATTTATTAGGTGTTTCTACTAAACTCCATTCACAATCTTTCTTTGAAGCATTTTTCTTACATTAGTCAGCTACTTTATAATCTGAACAAGCAGTCAAATTAATACATCCTGCCAATGTTGATCCATCTTCACCTAATTTAACTGTGCAATTTCCAACTTCTAAACATTTAAGGTGAGTATTATATGTTGAATCAGCATTACTACATGTTCTATCAAAACATTTATTAGATGTAGAATTCCAAATACATTTTCCCGATGTTGAATTCTCTACACATTATTCTTTTTTTGTATAGGCTGAACATGCCACTCTTTTCATGCATCCTCCTGTTCTAACTGTACAATTTTATTATTTTGCTGAGCATGCATCAATTGATGCAATTGCAACATCAGTTACAGTAATCGCATCACAAGATTTTTAAACACATGCTGCTGCTGGTGTAAGGGTAGCGTCCCAAACACATGGTCCTTGAATAAGAGCATATCCACATGATGGAGAATCTGTATATCCTCCACAATTGTCTTGCTTGGTTATGCATGCTGTACCTGCAGCATTTACAGAACAAGTCTATAAGAAATGATAACAATTAAAGAAATTGTAGATTCCTTTAAAATCACTACATGTTAAAGGTGTTGATGAATAATTGCTGCACTATTTGGCATTTGAACCATCAACAGTGCATGTATTGCTAAATTCTTAACATATATTTAAATTTAAGTTGGGTTCTCCTCCTAATTTAACGGTACAAGCTGTTGAAACCTCATATTTAATACAATTGTTAGAAGAGTCAAGATGACAATAACCTTCTGTTGCATAATAACACTAGGTCAAGGTATCCCCTGTATAATCTCCACATTCAGCAGCAATAACAGCACATACTGTTTGATCAGATTTAGCTGTACATGCTCCTGCACTAATTTCTTTACAATATTTAGCAGTTATTTTAGCTGCACCTTATGTTGACATCGTAACATTAGCACAAGTAGCAGAATTTATAGTAACCTTAGCACAATTTGATCCACTACGTTAACAATATCCATCCTTTCCTTTTGTACATGTATTCGTGGTTAATAAGGAACAATTTTTATCTATATAATAACATGACTTTCCATCATTTTGAACAGAACATTCTGAATCAAAATTTTAACATGAATCAAAAGTCTATGGTTCTGTAAGGCTTGCACAATTAGGTTTGCATTTACCAGATGCTCCAAATATACAACTACTCTTTAATGTTCTACATTCTGCATCAGTTGATCCACTAAGTTCACTACATTTTAATGTAGAAACAGCCTTACAAGCACTATTAATAAAATAACAATCTCCTTCAACTAATGACCATTTACAATTAGCTTAAGTTTAACCACTACAATTTTCTTATCCAGTAATGCAAGAATTTCCAGCTGCATTGACAGAACATGTAGCCTTTGCATTGTTACAATACTTTCCTGTGAGTTTGGCACCTTTTATTTTTGTACAATCAAAGTCATCTGCAGGAACATCCTCGCAAACACTATTTACAGAATCCCATGAACATTAAGCCTAATCTCCAAGTTTTCCACCCACACAAGCTAATTCATTTCCATAATTGGAACAAGTAGCTTTTTTAAGTCCACATGGTAAATTAGTGACAGTACATTAATTGGATTTATTGGTACATTCTGTATGAGTATCAAAACTTTTTGTATCTTCTACTGTAGCCAAACATACAGTATCACTACATTTTTCAGTTTGAGCATCCCATGAACATGGCGCATCATTTTTATCTTTTTAACATTAAACACTTTTAGTATATTAACTACATGATAATCTATCAACACATTTTTGTTCATCAGCACTTACTGTACATTTTTTATTAGATGCAGTTGTGCAATCACCATGAGTTGTTTTATCAATATTTGCACATACATTTCCATCTACACATTTTTTAGTTGTATCATTCCAGAAACAATTTTAATATTCAACAGGATCTGTATTAGGAACTTTTAAAAGATTATTAAGACAGGAATTTTTTCCTAAACCACTACAATTTGATGGTATAGGAGCACATGCATCATTTCCTGTTCCAACAATACAAAGAGGATTAAGTTTATCATCTTTCAACCATTCTAAACAATCATTATGAGCTACTGCACCATCTGTTTTTACAACACTAAGCGCATTGCCTTCTTTAGTTGCATTAGCACATGTTTTTTCATAACAAAGAGTATCACCATCCCATAAACATGTTTTACCTCCATTAGTTTTTGTACCTGCAACATCACATTATTCTTTGATTTTACGTAAATCACATTTAACTGGTAATTCTACACATCCTTTCTTTAAAGTATTTGGTACACAATTAGAATTTGGTTTATATGCTTCACATAATTCTATTGTGTATTCATCATCAACCTTAGTTGGGGCAGTTGTACAAGCTATATCAATACAAATAGATCCAGTCCAACCACATTTATCTTTATTAGCTTTCAATTCACAATTATCTTTAATAGTTAATGCTGAACATGTTAATGGAAGATCCATACAACCTTTCTTTGCATTTGTAACAGTACAAGTCTCAAGATAATCTTAACATTCTGCATGAGTTGTAAATGATTAAGAAGCTGAAGAACATTGCTTTTAGAAACAAGATCCATAATAAATACATTCTTGAGCATCTTTATCTTTTGTACAATTTTCTTTATCAATAATATTTTCACATAATAAATCAACACAAGTACCAGATGAATTAACAGTACATGTATTAATTTCTTTATTACAATCTGTATGATTATTTATTCTAGAAGGTAAAGAAGCACATGTTTTATCTAAGCAATTACCTGCTACACTATCCCAATAACAATCTTTTCCATTTAAATCTTTAACACATGCATCTTTTAATAATATAGCTTAACAAGTAGTATTAGTAACACATCCACCATCTTTTTTAGCTATACAATTTTTATTTGGAAGATAGTCTTCACATCCAGAATTTGAAGTAATTGTAGTAGGAGCATTGTCACATGTTCTATTTTAACATCCACCAGCATTATTTGCTTTACCTGTACATAATTTTGAATATGTTGAACATGCATCATGACCAATAATGTCAGTAGCTGCATTTTCACATGTTCTATCTTTACATGTACCATTCCATGTACATTATCTATTATTGTATCTATTAACAGTACATTAATCTGCAACAGTAGAACTTCCGCAACTTGTATCTTCAACACATCCAGCACCATTTGTTATGCATGTTGCTAAGAATTATTTCTAACAATCTGAATTTGTTTTCAATGTATTTGGTGCATTAACACATGTTTTATCTTTACATTTATTCTCTGAGACAGACCAATAACATTCCTTTTTTGCATTATCAATTTTACATCCTTCACTTATTTTTCCATCTTAACATGTTGTAATATCAACACAACCACCATTTTCTTTAGCTGTACATTTAGAAGAGAATAATTAACAATCAGCATGAGATCTATTAGTAGTTAAAGCAAATTCACATTTTTTTTCATAACATTTACCATTTCCCCAAAAACATTAAACTGTTCCTGTTTTGTTTGTGACACATCCTTCTTCTGATACTTAATCTTCACAATTTGTTCCAGATTCTACACATCCTCCCCCTTGTTTGGCTGTACACTCTTTCTTTAAATGTAATCTACATTCAGAATCTTTAGTCAAAGATGTTGGTAATTAACTGCATTCAGTTACATCAGAACATTTCTTACCTATATCATCCCAAACACAATAATTTGTCTTACTCTAAGTACAAGATGTTGATGTTAAATAAGTAGAACATAAGTCTATTTCAACACAAATTTATCCATCTGTAATGCATCTTTTTGATATTGCTTAACATTCATCTTTACTAGTTTTCTCATAAGGTGTACAACTTGTAAAGAATGTACACTTATTATCTATCCAAGCACATTCATTCAATTTAAGACATTCTGTTTGAGCTAATCCTTCACAATATAAAGATTTTCCATAATTTTTAGGTACAGTTACAGGGCCTGTATTTTATGGAACTTCACAAACTAATTTTGTCGAGTTCCATACGCAATTAGTGTTTCTTCCACAATCACCAGATGTAAGAAGTAATGCACAAGAACAAACTTCACTTTTATTTACTACTTGACATGTTGCTATGCTTATCAAAGCAATAATTAATAAAGTTCTCTTCATTTTAAAGTATTAATATTTTTAAATCATTTCATGGGATATTTAAATTAAACAAAACTTAAATTATTTTCAACTATATCATACGTCATATAAAAATTAAAATATTATTATGATCTTTTCTTACTTTTTTATTAAGACATCATTAATTAAATTATCATATTATTGTGAGGAGTAGCCATAAAGGCTCATCTCTGTATTTGGTTATTTTATAAACAAGAAAACCTTTTGTTTGAGATAAATTAGACCTAATATATTTATAACAAAGTTTTTCTCTAAATTTTTGTGTCTGATTGCAATTTGAATTCTTTTTACATTTTAACAGCAGAATCACAGAAATAATACTCAGATGTAGAGGAATGTTATATTTTTGGAGCAGAAAATTGACAAATGGTAACGCATTTAAAAATTTCTAGAATTATTTAGAGTCTTTTAAATATAATACCAATACCATTTTATAGCTTAACATTTATTACAGAACCTTTTTAGCAGACAGAATAAGGATATATAGTTTATTTACTATGTAAATCAACTCAAATTTTGAAAAAAATAGCATTTCCTATTACATCTGATAGAAAATAGTAGAATAAACCTCTGTATTAATCATAGTTATGTATTAATATGCTTAAGTCTTGGTAATAGCTTTGATAAAGGAGATAAAGTTTAATAACCAATCTACTAAAAACAGAAATCTAATATAAAGATAATAATATATATTTTTATTATCTTTGTATTAGATGTAGAGAAGTTTATAACAAAATTTTAAGGGCCAACTAAATTCATGGTCTTTAATAGATATATATAATAGTATTTTTTATTCAAATTGAGCATGAATACCATTTCTCTCATATATGTTAAATAATAGAAAATTTAAAATAAATCTAAATATTGTTATGTTATACATTTTAATAATATAAATTTTAATTATTAATTAAAATTAAAAATAAATCATAATATTGTTATGTTATACATTTTTATTATAAATATTCAATATATTAGACAAACATTTTGTCTATTTCTGCTGCTGCCTAAACTACCATATTGTATTCAAATAATCTTTTTGTAACAATAAATTCTGTTACGAAATATCAGCCATACCTTCTTTATCCATATTTGAATTTTTCCCTCTAACTCCTCTTACTTATAATCATAACGATCTAGCAGATTCTTTCAATTGTTTTTCATCAATTCCTCCTTTTGTAATATTTGGGAATTTTCCTAAAATAGATTATTTATAATATATTGGACAAGTAGTATAACAACATAAATATTATTTTCAGCAAAAACTAAGCTACTTATTTCTATTCCATTCAATAATTTATGTAATGATTGGTGTGCTTTACCTAAATCATTTCCATATATTATTGAAATTATTCTTAATTGATCATCCTACCCTATCCAAATAATTTTTGTTTCATCTTCACTAATCCATATTGTCATCCTTTAATATTTCTAACAACTCTAACTCTCAATGATTGAATCTATTTTTGTAAGAACATACTCTCCAATATTTTATGCTTTTCTTAACAAATGCTTTAAAATAAATAATATTCTCTTTATTATCTCCAAAGTTTCATGAAACCATTCAAATCGTTGGTAATGAGATTCAGCTAATATTTGTAAAAATACAAAATTAAATTCATTCTCAATTACACTATCTCTCATTCATTAAGCTGAATTTTAGAAATTATTTAGACCAAGGAATTTTTAATAATTATTATATTTCATTATTCTGCACTTATATACAGAAATTACTTAAGCTAATTACAAACAGCTTTCCATAAATAATTTTTCATATCCATGTCCTTGAATATTGACCTAATCATAAAAATATTTCTTCTGACTATCAAAGATCTCATAATTATATATATTTTGTTCTTGAGAATCATTCAACTCGAGTGATTTAGCAGACTTGTATTGCTAGGCTAATGCATAGCACTTCTTTGAATTTATCTTCTTTCTAATTCTTAAAATTCAATATCAAAAATAACCAGATATTTTTCGACATTTAAACACTATAATGCTTATAAAATAATTTTATAGAATTTAAAGCAGATATATTAAAATATATATGATAAAAATAATAAGAAATCATCAAGAGTAACTCTATCCAAAATTAAAAATTGACTGTGTAAATAATGTATTTTGTTGCTTGCTACATTAGATTTTGTGATTGCTTATTTTATATTCGTAATAATAATTTATATTTATATNATTTGAATTTTTCCCTCTAACTCCTCTTACTTATAATCATAACGATCTAGCAGATTCTTTCAATTGTTTTTCATCAATTCCTCCTTTTGTAATATTTGGGAATTTTCCTAAAATAGATTATTTATAATATATTGGACAAGTAGTATAACAACATAAATATTATTTTCAGCAAAAACTAAGCTACTTATTTCTATTCCATTCAATAATTTATGTAATGATTGGTGTGCTTTACCTAAATCATTTCCATATATTATTGAAATTATTCTTAATTGATCATCCTACCCTATCCAAATAATTTTTGTTTCATCTTCACTAATCCATATTGTCATCCTTTAATATTTCTAACAACTCTAACTCTCAATGATTGAATCTATTTTTGTAAGAACATACTCTCCAATATTTTATGCTTTTCTTAACAAATGCTTTAAAATAAATAATATTCTCTTTATTATCTCCAAAGTTTCATGAAACCATTCAAATCGTTGGTAATGAGATTCAGCTAATATTTGTAAAAATACAAAATTAAATTCATTCTCAATTACACTATCTCTCATTCATTAAGCTGAATTTTAGAAATTATTTAGACCAAGGAATTTTTAATAATTATTATATTTCATTATTCTGCACTTATATACAGAAATTACTTAAGCTAATTACAAACAGCTTTCCATAAATAATTTTTCATATCCATGTCCTTGAATATTGACCTAATCATAAAAATATTTCTTCTGACTATCAAAGATCTCATAATTATATATATTTTGTTCTTGAGAATCATTCAACTCGAGTGATTTAGCAGACTTGTATTGCTAGGCTAATGCATAGCACTTCTTTGAATTTATCTTCTTTCTAATTCTTAAAATTCAATATCAAAAATAACCAGATATTTTTCGACATTTAAACACTATAATGCTTATAAAATAATTTTATAGAATTTAAAGCAGATATATTAAAATATATATGATAAAAATAATAAGAAATCATCAAGAGTAACTCTATCCAAAATTAAAAATTGACTGTGTAAATAATGTATTTTGTTGCTTGCTACATTAGATTTTGTGATTGCTTATTTTATATTCGTAATAATAATTTATATTTATATTATATTATAAATACGAATAATAAAATTATATATACATAATAAGTAATTATAATTCTAAAATTTATTTTAAATATCTGTTGCCACATTTCCTTCACATCATTAATTATTTGTCATCCTTTTTGTATAAGTGTTGAAAATATGTAAAATTTTAGTTGTTTATTCTATTGAATATATTTTAATAGAATTTCAGAATTATTAAAATTATAGAGAATTGCACATAACAATGAAAAATATATGAATTAAATTTTTTAAAGTTAAAAAATTTTAGATTTTAGGCTGCAAGATACAATAGCAATATTTTTATCACAACATTAATAAAATTAATCTGTCATAATCTATGATTTCAATAGGAATGTGTTTAAAGAATATCTAATTCTAAATTTTTAAGTTTCTAAAGTAATCTCTGATCCAAATATGTAATATTTGCTTTTGTTTGAAGAAAAGAAAGAAAATTAAAGAACTCTAATGCATATGGCGAAATTAGAAAAATCTTACGCACCTATTTCAACTATAATGCTTCCTTCTATAAAAATTTAATTAATTGAATGGTGTAATAGCAACATTTGTGCCATAGTATTTTAAAATGATTTGATCCTTTTTAATATTTATTCATAAACTATTTTAAAAAAATTAGAATCAAATTTTAATTAAATACTTTAATTTAAAGTGAATTAGAAATTTGATACTATTTTATAGCAATACTAAGCTTCTATTTCAGATCCATAAATTTGCTATGTTATGCCTTTAGAAGATATTACATAATAAAAAAAATTTGAAAATTGCATTGCTTGCACTGAAATAATGGAAAATGAAGAACACTTAATAATGATTACCACAAATAATAACATGTTAAAACTAATAATAGCCAATTTCGACAAAGATATCAAAATAAAGCATGAAATTATTTAAAATGGCATTTAAATAGTAAAAAATTCTTCGTTTTTATAAATCAAATACAGAAAATAGAAATAAGAGTTATTGTTAATTGACTCTACTAAAAAATTGCAATTATTTAATTTGGATAACAGTTATTAAATGATAGAGACAAAAAGTTATTAAGATGTAAGCTCCTTTGTTCTTTCTCTACAAAATTAACATTTAATTTATATGGATAAAAATATGTGTTTATATTAGGAAGGTATTAAAGTTGAAGAATTAAATAATCTATAGCGAGCTCAGATGGAAATTTCAATTGCATCTCAAGTTAAAAAATCTGCTATTTAAGGAATATTAAGTGATAAAAATAAAAGTGGAACTTTAAAAGAAATAATCAATTAATACTCCACAAATTTTGAGAAATTTAAACCAAAGTTTTCAGAAATGATAAACTTAAGATCTTCGTATAAGAATTTCCCTTTAATTGAATTTAGAGTTTTGATTTATCCTACCCAAGATATTGAGAACTATATTAAGTATGTACCTGATATGTCAGAATATGTTGAAACTCAAAGTGTTAAAAAACATATAAAGTAATTTGAGATTGCTTTAAAGGGAGATAATCCTTTACTATGTGAAGGAGATGCTGCTTGTGGAAAAACTTCTGTAATTTAATATTTGGCTTACAAACATAAGTAGCCATTGCTAATAATGAATTTAAATTCCTTTACTTAAATAAGTGATTTAATTGGTAAAATTGAGATATTACCAGGATTCAAATTAGAATTTCAACCTGGGCCATTTGCGAGAGCTGTTTAGGAAGGAATGTGGATACTTTTAGATGAAGCTAATTTGGCTAGTGATTCTATATTAAGAGTAATTGAGGATGTTTTAGAGCTTGGTTATCTAACTATTTTTGGAAATTCTATTAATTCTCATAATGATTTAATTGATGGAACTTTGACTATAAGAAAACACTAAAATTTTAAACTATTTTTAACATAAAATCCTGCCACTGACTTAAATTTTGCTGGGTCGAGACATGTATTTACTCCTTCATTAATGAGTTAATTCATTTAACTTTCCTTTAAACCAATGAGTGAAAATGATATGGAAAATATAATAGGTTAGATTATTTCGAAAAAGTTATAAAATTCTCTCTCTCCAGAAAAACAATTAAAATTAATTACTTTGATTATGAAGATTTATCTAGAAATAAAATAAAATAAATTAGATGACGGATTATTTACTTTAAGAGATATATTACAAATTGTAGATGCAGTTTCTCTTGAACCTAATTATAAGAATATATTTGATGTAGATATTTTGCCAATTAAATATTGTTTACAACTCATCATCACTTAGTTTTTGGATACTAATAAAAATCTAGACATGATCAATTCTTTAATTGATGAGTTTAATTTTATTGGTTATTCAAATAAGGCTTATGAAGAAACAGAAGATAAGAGAATTGGTTAACTTGTAATTTGGAATTAATAATAATAAGAACTTTATCTTTCATTTCATAATTTTCTATTCGCAATGCTAACATTATGTTATAGAACTAAAAGAGCAGCTCTAGTTGTTGGATAATAATTTTGTGGTAAATTATTTAGTGTTAAGCTTTGGTTAAAATTATAAGGAATTAAGAATTATGAAGTATTTGAATTATCTGAAGATACAACGAGTGAAGATTTGTTTGGAAAATATCAACCAAGTGAGAAAGGATTCTAATTTTGTGAGGGACCAATCACTAGGTGTTTCAGTTAAGGAAAAGTATTGATTTTGTTGGATATTGATGCTCCAGAAAGTGCATTAACTGAATCATTAAATGGCATTTTGGAAAAAAAATTCTTATAATTGATAGTCTAAAATAAGAAATATGAAAGGCATAAGGACTTTCATATAATAGCAATTTCTTCTGATTAATCAAAAATAGCACATAAATTCACTCCTGCTTTGAAAAGTAGATTCTTAAGTACAATTGTGAAATTTTAAGTTAAATTACAAGATATATGTTAACTATTTAGATAAGCTAATCTTCCAGGAGATTAAGAATTTGTTCACACTATCACATAATAATTAGGCTTGGATATTTCATAGAAAGAACCCGTAATTTCATTTAAATATATTATCAGATTTCTTTAACCTATTAAACAATTTATTTAATTTGTAACTTAAAATTTAAAATAAAATTTATCTAAAGGACAGGCATTAAAAAGAGTTATTGATTGCATCCAATTTTTTATAGCATTGAGTTTAGAAGATAATAAACTACTTTATAGTGATTAGATTAAATTACCACTTCAATTTGAAGATGTTTTAGAAGGATCATTCGAAGATGCCTCAAAAAAGTTTATTTTTACTCCTTCCAGAAAAAGAGTATCCGATATTATTGCTATTGCTATTGCTTCTAAGGTACCTTTAATCCTTTAAGGTTCTGCTGGAGTTGGAAAAACTAAAGTAATTTCAATGTTTTCTTAAACATGTAGAATGTTTTAATAAACTGAATTTTACTATATAAATATGAATTAGAATACTGATATTAATGATTTAATGGGATAATTTATTTGTTCTATTAAAAATGGTTAAAAGGAATTTAAATTTGAAAAAGGGTTGTTATTTTCTGCAATGGAAAAAGGAGGTATAGCCTTAGTAGATGAAGTAAACTTAGCGTAATCTAGTGTTCTTAACTTTTTGGCTTCAATAGCTAAATACCCAACTGAATTTGTGGATCCCGTATCAAATATTAAAATCAAGATTAATGAAAAATTTAGAATATTGTTTGCATAAAATCCTCCACATTATGTAGGGAGGAGTGAACTTCCTTTAAAGCTTGCTTCAAAAGTTATTTTAGTTGAAGTTCCTAATTATACTCTTAAAGAAGTATTATAGATTTGTTAGGGAACATCAAACAGTGTCAAATAAGGAATGGAGTATTTTCTAACAAAAATAATACCTTATCCAGAGGATGGTGATGAAAAAAAATTGAAGTATAACAACACTTAATTTACATTAAGATAATTCATTAAATTTAGAAATCGTTTAGAGAAAACTAAGTTGGAAATTACAACTTAAAAAGAAATTTGGGAAAATTTATTAAGACTTCATTAAATAATCCTCTTTCCAAAAGATAATTATGAATAGAATTAACTCAAATCATCTATCGTTTATTCTGAATAGGATAAAACTATATAATTCGAAATTAAAAATGATAAAGCAGAAATAAAAATTTCTCTAGAGGCTAACAAAAATTTGAATTCTTTAAGCTAGGAAATATAAAATTTAAGTGATTAATAAAGACTTTTATTAAGTTAGATTGCATTATGTTTTTATTGTAAAGAAAATGTATTAATTGAAGGAGAGACGACTTTTAAAACTTATGTAACAAAACTGTTTTCTTCAATAATATAATTTTAAAATCCTAATCCTTTTGAATTAATTTACACTTCTAGTGTTACAGAGATAGCAGATTTATTAGGTACTACAGAATCTCACAATTCAGAATCATATATGATACATTGTAAAAATTTAATACAAAAATTAGGAAAAAATTAAAAATTTATAAATCTAGATTAAATTTAAACTACTCTCAATGACTTAGCAAAATAGTGGGGTTAAAAAATATTTTTTGATTCGATTAATAAAAATCTAAACAATTAGTTTCCTTTTGTTGAAAGAGGTCTAACATTTTCTGCTAGATTTGGTGGAGTTGTTTGTTTAAAAAATATTACTCTGGCAGATTAATCTGTTTTAGAAGGTTTAAATGCTTTACTTGAAATAGAACCACATTTTGTTGTTAATGGAAAAAAAATTGATATTCACAAAGAATTTATTGTAATAGCTTTATTAAATAGCAATTTTGGAAATTAATTAAGTGATGCATTGTAATCTAGGCTAACAAAAATATCAATACAAACCTAAGAATTATTAAATTCTTCAAATCAGCTTCAAGAATCTTATCAAAAATCTATTCGGTCAAAAATATCTATTTAAGGATAATCAAATGAGATCATCACCTTTGTTGAATAGCTCTTAGGTTCCCTAAAGAAATAGAAGTATGAACAATATAAAATGTTATCATCTAGATAATTTTACTAATGGATGAACTTTTTGGCTTTAACTATTAATGCCCCAAATTTAGAAAAATTGTCTTTAGGATTTTAATTCGTCATATTAGATCATAAAAAGGAAAATTTTGAAAAATTAATAAAAAACGAATCATACATATCTACTTTTAACAACGCCGAAATCTCAATGAAAAAAAATTTAGAAAAGTTAGGTCTCTTCAATTCTTCTAAAATTATTATGAATCCCATTACAAACAAAATAATACAAAGGATCTTTTCAGCTTTTTCTGTCGATTTTATTCCATGTTTAATAGGACCTCCAGGAATAGGAAAATCAGCAATAGCTTAAGAAGTTGCTTAGATATTAGGAAAAGAATTTTAAAGAGTATGCTGCTCAGATAGTTTATCTGTTGATGATTTATTTGGTTCATATGCCCCAACATTTGATGAAGGAAGTGCTGGCTTTACATTTTAAGAAGGCTATCTTGCTATGGCTCTAAAAAAGAAAAGTTTAATATTATTTGATGAAATAAATTTAGCTTCTCCCGAAGTTTTAAGTACTCTATAGGCTTTGTTCAATATGGATGAAAAATCTTTAAGTTTTAAAGATTATAATATTAACAAAACGGGTTGTGTATTTTTGTGTTCAATGAATCCACCATCATATCAAGGTAGATAAGAATTGCCTTAATGCATTTAAAATTTATTATGTGATATTCATCTATAATAATTTAGCATTGAAGAGGTTTTAGATATTTTTAAGTAATCTTATAATAAGTAAATTAAAAACCTGAAAGACTTTGATATAGATTTTTCGGTTATCATTGATTTACACAAAGAGCTCTCTTAGTAATAGGATAAAAATCAATCATCAAACTACGATTTTAATATTCGATTTTTGTAGAATCTTTTGTAACTTTTTAGTGATTAATTTATAAAATAAATATAACTGATAAAAGATTAATAATTAAAGACAGAATTAATCATATTATGTTTAGAGATAATTTATGTTGAGCACTACTATTAAACAGATTTTTCAGAAACAATTTTAATAGCTATTTTAAATAAGTATAAAATAAGTCTAGAATAATGGAATAATAGGAAGGTTTTCTTAGAGCAAAAAGCTGATATGATATATATTAATAGACTTGTAGATGATGATTCAAAATAAATATTAAAGTTTCCTTTAATTAGATTAGCCCCTCCATAGATGATTAATAATTCTTATACTATTAATTTGTAAAACTCAAAAATCTTTGAAAAAATTTTAATAGCCTTATAATCTTAAAAAATTATATTATGCTAAGGAGATACTTCAACAGGAAAGACCTCTAGTATTATAACACTTGCTAGTATGTTGAATCAAAGATTTATTTTATTACCAATTAATTGTGATTTAGAAGCTGATGATTTACTTGGGAATTTTGCAATAGTTTAAGATAATTACGACGAAGTTCAATAAGAATTATAAAAGTTAATATCTAAATAAAATGTTGTAATCTAATCCAAAAATTCACAAAAATCTGAAATTAATATGAAGTATATGGAAGGAGTCTTAAAAATTTGTTTGAAAAATGGCTATTGGTTAATTTTGGATAATATAAATTTGGCAAGGCCTGAAATTATTGAAAGGCTTAATTCATTAGGTGAAGATTCTCCTTGTTTATTTATAAATGAATTCGGTGATAAGAATAGAAAAATCATTCCTCATAAATAATTTCGACTGATTTGTATATAAAATCCTTCGAGAGCTGAATCCCATTAGCTATCTCCAGCTTTTTATAATAGATGTTTAAAAGTTAATTTCAAAATTGATATTACAGAAAATACTTAGGATATTATAGAAATTTTAGTAAAAAATGGTGAAGGTTGTTGTTTATTTTAGGAAGAAACTGTAAAATTAGCAGAGAAATTCTTGAACTAAATAAAGTTTATGAAAAATCATCTTAATTTTAAATTTAGTTTTAGATAAGTTCAAAAAGCTTTTAAAATGATTCAAGACGAGGGATATAACAATTACGAATCAGTTATGGAAATTGTTTTTGGTTAGAATTTTTTATAATGTTCTTAGGATACACTATTCCCTATTTTTGATGTAAATTCCTATGTTAATCCAGATTCTATCTTAAACAAATTGGTTTCTAATTCTATTTAGCTATTTGATTCTGGGATTATTAATTAGATACTCCAATTCTAAAATTTATATGAATTTCTTAAAAAGTATTTAGGAGAAAAAGAATTTTAAACTTATAAATATTTTCTTGACACAATTTCAAAAAAAATTAATTTGATGAATTTTCCAACTTAAAATTAATTTAATACTGGTAGCTATGAATTAAGTCTATCAGGGTAGATTGATTATTGTTTATGTGGAATAAATATGGTTATAGAACCTTTATTTTTATCCCTAACTTTTAGAAATAAAGAAGTGTAAACTTTATAAATGAAAATTTAATGTTAATTCCTGAGTTAGATTTTTTAAGCAGAAGCAAGATTAAACTAGAATAAAAAATTTGAAGTAATATTTACTAAAACAAACGAAAATTCAATTGCCCAAATGATAGAATAATTGATAGGATCTTAATATATGCAACTTTTTGCCTCCTTTAACTAGATGCTTGAAGAAGCATTGTATGAATGACAACTATTATTAGATGAAATTTAAGAAATCAAATTTAAATTTAATTTAGATGAATTTTCACTATTTTTTCTTCCTATGATTAAAATTAAAAATATAGTTGGTTAATTTACTTTAAGCATGGAAAAGTTAGTTAAATTTTTTCTTAGTTTTGAATTATATATTTTTAATGTTTATATTGGAAATATAAAGGATTTATCTTAACTAAAAGTAGAAATTGAATTAAAACCAGAGAAATTAATCGATATCTTTAAAGATTATGGATGCATCTATTTACTATAAAACTTAGAATTGAAACAACTTTAGAATGAAATATCATATTTGGATTTTTAGGAAAAAAAAATAGAATTAAACTTAGGGTCTTAAATTCCAATTTAAATATTTAAATTACCATTTTTTGTAAAGTTTAATAAAATTAATGCATGTTTATAATTATCAGACCCAATATTAATAAAAGGAAGTTTGCATTGTGCGTTTTAATGGTATGAAAAAGATGTTTGTACATTAAAGGCTATTATTGATAATCAAAATAAATAAATATTTAAATTGGAATTAGATTATGAATAACCACCGTAAGATTTAAAAAATGTTTTATGCTAATTCTTTGAACAATATTTTGAGAATAATTACTTTATTAGTAAATTAGTTGATATGAAAGAATTAATAATAAAGAAACTTGATATGATTACAAATGCTCTTTGTTGGAATTTTCAAATGGAAATCTAAATAAATTTGGACTTCAAAATTTTTGGAGAAATAACTTTTTTAATTAAATCTATAGATATTTATTGCCACATAGACTCAAATAAATGTGAATTTTCGATTGTATCTACAATAGAATTTTTGAAATTCATTATGGAAATTGGAATTGAAATTGATTTCTTTTAACTGTTTTCAAATTAAAGATCGAAGTCGTTAAAAATGATTTTTCGAAAAGCACAAAACTGTCCGACTTTTAAAGAAATCCTTTCTATTTATTCTCCTAGAATCGATAGTATTCTTGAAAAAATTCCAGGATATAAAGAGTTAAAAATAAAAGATAAAATAAAGGATCTAAAAATATAAAATCCAGATGATTTACTAGACGTAAATAGGTTTAAAAAATTAGGAAGCAGTATTTTTGAAGAGTTTAAATTATAAGCTAATGAGAGAGTTTAATGTACAGAACAATAGATTAGAGAAGAATTCGAAAAAGAGCTAATTAAAGGTAAAGAGTAAACTAAGATGATGCTAGAAGATGGAAAATAAATAGTTAACTAATAAATTCAGAATGTTAAAGATAAAGTCAATTCAAATATAAATGAATTAAACTAAAATATAAGATAAAAGAAATAAGAAATTGAGTAAAACTTAACTTAAGGTATGAATTATTTTAATGATTTAAAACAGAAGAAATAAGAAATTGAATAAAACTTAACTTAAGGTATGAATTATTTTAATGATTTAAAACTGAAGAAATAAGAAATTGAGTAAAACTTAACTTAAGGTATGAAGTATTTTAATGATTTAAAACAGAATAAATAAGAAATTGAGTAAAACTTAACTTAAGGCATGAATAATTTTAATGATTTAAAACAGAAGAAATAAGAAATTGAATAAAACTTAACTTAAGGTATGAATTATTTTAATGATTTAAAACAGAAGAAATAAGAAATTGAGTAAAACTTAACTTAAGGTATGAATTATTTTAATGATTTAAAACAGAAGAAATAAGAAATTGAATAAAACTTAAATTAAGGTATGAATTATTTTAGCGATTTAAAACAGAAGAAATAAGAAATTGAATAAAACTTAACTTAAGGTATGAATTATTTTAATGATTTAAAACAGAAAAAATAAGAAATTGAATAAAACGTAAATTAAGGTATGAATTATTTTAATGATTTAAAACTATAAGGGGAAGAGCAAATCAGTAAGTGTTAATAGACAATATAAGATGCAAAAGCTAATTTAGAAAAATAAATTAATCATTAAATTGAATAACAAAAAGAAAAAGCAAAAAAATTTGGACAGGATGCTTTCAGCTAATTAAGCTAACTGGCTAACTCTAGGGAATCATATTTAGAATTCAGGAATGATTCAATCGAATTTAAATTCGATATTCCTTTATTGGATGAATGGAAAATATGTAGATTTATAACGTTATCTGATTGCAATTTACAATTTAGTAATATTGAAAAAGAATTAATCATAGATTTAAAAGGAAAAATTAAATTTTTGGATATTCAGTTTCCAGAATTCTCTTTATTATTTTCACTTAAGAAACCGCCAATAATTTTTTTTGACAAAAAACCTTTAGTTTAAGGATTTGATCCAATCTAATATGGCCTAAAATTGTTCGATTTATAATGTGAAGAAACCAACTTATTTCCTACAATAAACTAGATCGATATTTTTTAGTTTAACTTTGAAAATTAGGAGTTTGAGAGCTAGTTTTCATTCAATTCAGAGAATTGTTAAGAAAAAAATAGTGTTATTAATTTTTCCACTATTTCTATGAGAATATAATACAAACAATAATTAGTTAAATAAAAACTTAATTCAGACATTTAAGCTATGCTTAAGACCTCAATTTTATTATTTGGATTGAAAATTAATTTAAATCTAGATTTTTCATTTCTTGCAACAAATTACAGAACAAATTCAAGCCTTAAGTTTGTTTTAGAATCAGAACCTATAGAGAATTTTTGTTTGAACAAATTTGTTTAACACATACTTTCGTTTGAAATCCCAAGCCACATTGCTGAATTCAAAATTTAAAATATAATATGTAAATTATCAATTGAAAAAAGTAAATAATGGGAATTTTTTTTTTTACTTTCAATAGAAGATGGTAGTTGTAATTTCTTTTAAAATGTAATTATTATAAAAGCGCTAACTGGATAGCTAATCTATAACAAAGAATCAGGATGGGATGATAGTTCAATTAGAGGGGAATGCATTGTGAAAAACTAAAGTTTGGGCTCTTTTAAGTTTGGTTTTTTGAAAGATAGAAAACAAATTTAAGCAGATTTAATTCCTAATAAAACATTTTCACTTGAAAAATTGTTTTAAGATCTCTCAGGATGTGACTTAAAAATGAGTATTTTTTAAGAGATTAACTTCCAAAATCTAACTTTGATGTTAGAAATATTTGAATCCCAAATGCTCTTCAAGGCTATTTATAAAAAGGACAACTTGAAATTTGACAATTTCTCGTTTATATAATTAAAGGACGTTAATGTCGAATTTTAGTTAATAAATAAATAAGTGATATCAAAAAATTTGTAAATAGATTTTAAAATTGTATTGTTTAAAAATCAAAATTTTGTAATTGATGGGAAAATAACAGGATTTCCATTAAAAGTTGATAAATTTGTTTTGCCCATCAGATAGACCATATTCGCATTATTTGATATTTTAAGGGAATTCGATTTGTATAAGATTCATAAATTTCAACTTTTTGAAGAATGTCCAATTCAAGTAGAATTTGTTGTCAACATTAATACTAATATGAAAGTTGAAAATTTTGAAATTATAGGAACATATTAAGGTAAAATTAAGTGGTCTTTTCTTTAAATTACATCAATTAGGTTAAAATATTCAAGAGAAAATGGACAGAATAATTTTGTGTTTGAAGGAAATGTTATTTTACTTGATGTTTACAAATTGCAATTTTCGTATTGCACCTAAAATAAGAAATTAAAATTTTTGTAAATTGAAAATGACAAAAATACACAGCAAATGATTTAGCTGACTAAATCTTTGTTTGAAAATCAAAATAATTATTAAACAACGATTTCAAATTTTAAAGTAATGGTCGAAAAAATACCATCATTTTAGGAATTAGTCATTAATTTTGAAAATAAATCTTTTCTTTTGGCATTATCAAATTCCTCAAGTTAAGTTTACAAAATTTACTTAAATTGGTAAAGCAAAACTCTATTATTTTATTTTTGTATTAAAGGCAAATTTTGTGATATAACATCTTTATTTTCAGTTTTAGATTCTTTTTTCTGTTTTCAATAATCAGAATGCTTATTAATTTATTCGAAATAAGGGGATTCACTTGATGATGACCTTATTGAAGAAAATTCAAATAATTTAATATCATCCTACTTAAAAAATCAAAATAAAAAATCTATTGGGCTAAACCTAATCACTTAAATTAAGTTTAAAATTCAACCTAATTTAGAAAAGTTCTTTTCATTTCTTGAAAATCCAAAAAAGGAATTTGACCTTAAATTTAATGCTCTTTTTGAAAACGGATTTGAATTTTAAAGTGAAAAGTATAAATATAACACAAAGCAATTTTAGGGTTCACTTTACTTTTATTTATAAGGCATTTAACAATAAATAAATTTTAAAATATATTTAAGTTTAAAGTATGTTACTCAAAATTGGGGTGAATTGAATTTTAAAGGTGAAGTAAATGGCTCTCAAATAACAAGCTTTAAAGGGGGCTTGGAATTAGAATACAAAAATGCTTTTGGGGTGAATGATTGGGATATAAAGGGAACAGCAAATTTAATTTATGAAAATCAAAATCTAAGTTTTTCTACTCAAATAACAACTGAAATAAAGGGTTTCACCGCTGAATTGCGCCTTAATCTTTCTAATTTTAAGCCTGTTGGTTTAGGAATTATGCTATAAAATATTAATTTAAGAAAAATTTTAAGATTTTTCAATCTAGAAGAGAAGATTCCTTCAGAATTTCTGAATTACATTCCAAATATACAGAAATTAGGGGTTATATTTGGGGAAATGCCTGATGATTATAAGAAATCAATATTTCCAGAAAAATTATATAATTTGGTAAATTCTAAATCATTATTTGCTAAGGTAGTAGAAAAAATCGTTGGTGAAAATTTGGAATAAAAATTTTTTTTGATCTAATCTTCTTCCGATTCAAAACAATTTATTTTTGATTTAGCTTTGTATTAAAGTGCAATAGGAAAGAAGTTTTTTTGTAAGGGACATTTAAAGGTTGATATTAGTCCACACCTATTAATTGGGATTTCTCTTGATACATAATTCGATTAAGATTAATTTAAATTTGATGGAAAAGGAACTATAAAAATATTAGAAGAAAATTAACTTGATATTAACGTACATTTTAAACCAAATTAATTTGCTTTTTAATTGGCAATCATGATTTAAAATTTGAAATTTGAATTAGGATTAGAAGCTAAATTTGAAAACAATATTTTAATTAATGCAAACATAGAATACGACATATAAAAAAATAAAGGTTGGTAATAGTAAACATATTGGTTCTTTAAATATATTGAAGTAAAATAAATAGTACTTAGACTTGACATAGATGAGCAGTAAATTAAATGTAAACTTAAATATTCTATCAAGATTGTTGACTTTAAATAATTTGAAGGTGATTTTGAAATTAGCTTTGATATTAATGTGATTCAAAATTTGATATCACTAACATTTGAATAATTTGCATAATTTTTCAGTTGCCTCCCTGGATTCAACTAAAATACTGATAATTTACAATTTAAGAAAATGCTAAATAAGAATGCAAAAAAGATAAAAAAATTTTGTAAGAATAAATTGAACACTGATGTTTCTGAAGAGCTTGATGCATTAAGGGAATAATTTGATGAGGAAGATAATCGTCTAATTGAGCCAAAATCTCATAATTCTTAAACACAAAACCCTCAAAATCCAAAACCTTCTTAATCGAATTAAAATAAATAGCGTTAACCATCTTTATCACCATCACCCCCAAAAGCTTCATAATCAAAACAACCTCAAAAACCTACTTAATAGAATTAAAATAAATAGCGTTAACCATCTTTATCACCATCACCCCCAAAAGCTTCATAATCAAAACAACCTCAAAAACCTACTTAATAGAATTAAAATAAATAGCGTTAACCATCTTTATCACCATCACCCCCAAAAGCTTCATAATCAAAACAACCTCAAAAACCTACTTAATAGAATTAAAATAAATAGCGTTAACCATCTTTATCACCATCACCCCCAAAAGCTTCATAATCAAAACAACCTCAAAAACCTACTTAATAGAATTAAAATAAATAGCGTTAACCATCTTTATCACCATCACCCCCAAAAGCTTCATAATCAAAACAACCTCAAAAACCTACTTAATAGAATTAAAATAAATAGCGTTAACCATCTTTATCACCATCACCCCCAAAAGCTTCATAATCAAAACAACCTCAAAAACCTACTTAATAGAATTAAAATAAATAGCGTTAACCATCTTTATCACCATCACCCCCAAAAGCTTCATAATCAAAACAACCTCAAAAACCTTCTTAATCGAATTAAAATAAATAGCGTTAACCATCTTTATCACCATCACCCCCAAAAGCTTCATAATCAAAACAACCTCAAAAACCTACTTAATAGAATTAAAATAAATAGCGTTAACCATCTTCATCATCATCACCATCACCCCCAAAAGCTTCATAATCAAAACAATCTCAAAAACCTTCTTAATAGAATTAAAATATATAGCTTTAACTATCTTCATCACCATTACCCCTGAAAGCTTCATAATCAAAACAACATCAAAAACCTTCTTAATAGAATTAAAATAAATAGCGTTAACCATCTTCATCATCATCACCATCACCCCCAAAAGCTTCATAATCAAAAAGATCTCAAAAACCTTCTTAATAGAATTAAAATATATAGCTTTAACTATCTTCATCACCATTACCCCTGAAAGCTTCATAATCAAAACAACATCAAAAATCTCCTTAAAAAAATGAAAACAACTAGAGTTCATCATCTCCTTCATCTGTACCATCACAAAAAACTCAACTGCTTCCTCTAATTCAACCTCCACCAATTCTAACTCCTACACCTATTTAATCAATTTAACCACCTCCATCAACTCAACCTTAACAACAAGAGTTTAAGGAAAAAACAGATAAAGAATAGAATTCTAAAAAAAATTAAAACAAAAATGATATATAAAGATTCTTTCAAAATCTTAATGAATAAGAGATAAAAAAAAAAAATAATAACCCGCAGTAATAAAATCGTTAAGATGAACCAATCTAAAAGAGTCTTTAAATTGAAAAATAGGAATCTGTGAAAAGTGATCCTGCAAATGAGAAAAACGATCCTGAAAATGAGAAAAATTAAGAAAACTGCAGTATTATTGATCTGGATATGATAAAAAGTCTCAAAAATTGGAGTTTTGATGAAGACTTAAAAGCTTGCAATGTATCGAAATAATTATTGTAAGACTCAAAAATTGTTAGCAAATAATAACCACGCGGACTTTAAATAGATGGGGAACCAAAAATTTAGGAATATGATTAGTTGTTGAGCTCAGCTGAAGCGGAGATTGCTTTTGAGTGGAAAAACCAAGAATAAAAAGATATTGTTAGTATGAATGGAAGATTAATTATAAATAATTAAACTTACACCGAGAGTATATTGTTGTAATTAGGCCATCTATTAATTAAATTACAATTTCTTCACTAGAAATATGATATAATTTTATCTGGAAATTGTAAACCTGTGTCTTTAAAAAATCAGGATATCCCTCTATCAATAAATTTGATAGATAAAATCTTTCATGGGTTATATGGTTAATTCAATGAAAAATTGATTCCTGTTGATTTAAACGACAAATATTTAAACGATTTTATTATTGTTTTCACAGAAAATAAGCTTACAATTTCAGATTAATGCAAAAAAGAATTAATAAGTGATGAGATAAAAATCGTTTATATTTTTGAAAAAGCGAAAATTTTTAGTTTAGATGTCAAAAGTGGAGAAATAAATGAAGTTTCTATTTCACTTTTGGAAATATTAGGTGAAATTTCATAATAAAAAAAGAAGTTAAATAAATCGAAGATTAAATAAACTATAAATACTAGAGAAATTGAAAATTTAGATATCTAAGATTTATCCCACTTAAATATTAAAGAGGCTAATAATTTGAAATCTCTACTTGAAATAAGTAAATATACTAAATATTCTTTATCCTCGAAAGGAACAACTATAGATATCAAAGGAATAATTAAATTTTTCTGTACAAATGGAACTGCCAAAGACATTATGAAAAAAAAAAATAAAGGAGGGAAATCTCTATATGTGTTCTAAGTAGTTTTAGATTTGAACTCTTTTTCTAGAGCTTGCTTAATCAACGTTATTATTCCATTTGTATATCATCTAATTGAATTTTGTAAGGAATGCAAGATCATTTGTAATCTACATATTTATAGTGATCCTATCATTCTTATAAAATAAAACTTTTCAACAATTTGGTCCTAATAAGAATAAGAATAATTATTAAATTCCATTACAAATTTTAATGATAATATTTAAATTGAATACAACTGTAATTAGTTAAGGTTTGTTTCAGATAATCTAACAAAATTTAACTCATATAAGAAGTACTTAATATTTATAAATCATCAATTATACAATTACTCTTACTAAGACCTTTCAATATTTATTAACTAAACCTAATAATAATAAATAAAGTTAGTATCTATTGGAGTAGATATCAATAAGTAAACAAATCGTTTAATGGAAGGGATTTTCCATGTTCCATTAATTGAATCTAACGATTTATATTAAATTATGAACGATTTATTTGAAAAGAAAAATCAATAGGAATTAAGAATAAAAAAATTTGAGTTCAAGATTGATAATTAAAAATTTCCAAATTAAGTTGAACTTGAATAATTTTAGTATAATGGATTAAAAAGTAATTAGTATTTGAATAGATTCTTTAATTATGTATCAAAAAATGATTAGAACTAGAATAACGAAATCACATAAATTTAACAATAGTAGAAATTCAGCTATGAATTAATTTAGAATAAATCAATTACATAAGTTAATGAATGTTCAGTAATAGCGATAAATAAAGATTGCACAATTATCATTGCTGGATGTTCTAATTAAATTAGAGTATTTGAATTCAAATAAGATTAGTTGAAAGAAACCTAACTTCTCAGCTAGCATGAAGGTAAAGTGAATACATTAAATTTCATGAAATTATAAACTAAATTCGTATCTGGAGGTTTGGATAAATAAATTATAATATGGATTATGAACCCAGGCAATTAATGGGTTTGTTTATAAAAGTTAATTGAGCATTCTGATCAAATTAGATGTCTAGCGTTGAATAATAATGAAGATTTAATCATTTCTGGAAGTAATGACATGAAAATTAAATTTTGGAAGTAAAATATTGAATGGTCGTGTAAATAAACTATAGAAGATCATAAAGGAAATGTATTGGATTTGAGTATAAATTAACAATAGAATAAAGTAATTTCATGTGGAGAGGATGAATAAATATTGATAATTGAATATTAATAATAAACTTCCATTTGGGTTATAATTTAAAAAATAACTGAAATAAAAAAAGGTAGTAGAATATGCTTTATCGATAATGATATTTTTTTGCTTTAATTGTTTTTTGGGATAATAATGGATATTTATGAAATTAATAGTGCTAACTAATTATTTGAAAGTAAAAATAAAATAATGATGACTCGTACTTTAATTTCAATACTAAGATTCGCCACAAAAGAATTTATATCTTAACCAATATAATATATAAACTCAAAAGGTCAAGCGGTTTATACTGTTGAGAATAAATTATAATTTTTAAGAAGAAATGAATAGGGGTAATTTTAACTTGAATAAGAAATAAAATTTAAAAAATTTGAATTTTTTGGAATATTGAGTGAAGATGGATAATACTTAGTTTCATGGGAGTTAGGTGAAAACAAGATCCAAATTAGAAAATATCATGAAATACAATGAATAACACATAAATATTTTATTAAATTTATTATTTTTTGTGTAAAGAAACCAATTCTCCTATTTTTCTGATTTTGTTAATTTTATTCCTCATAACTTATCGAAAACTTAAAAACTATATCGTGAAGTATAATTTTAATCTTTAGACCATAAATATTGTANAATTACATAAGTTAATGAATGTTCAGTAATAGCGATAAATAAAGATTGCACAATTATCATTGCTGGATGTTCTAATTAAATTAGAGTATTTGAATTCAAATAAGATTAGTTGAAAGAAACCTAACTTCTCAGCTAGCATGAAGGTAAAGTGAATACATTAAATTTCATGAAATTATAAACTAAATTCGTATCTGGAGGTTTGGATAAATAAATTATAATATGGATTATGAACCCAGGCAATTAATGGGTTTGTTTATAAAAGTTAATTGAGCATTCTGATCAAATTAGATGTCTAGCGTTGAATAATAATGAAGATTTAATCATTTCTGGAAGTAATGACATGAAAATTAAATTTTGGAAGTAAAATATTGAATGGTCGTGTAAATAAACTATAGAAGATCATAAAGGAAATGTATTGGATTTGAGTATAAATTAACAATAGAATAAAGTAATTTCATGTGGAGAGGATGAATAAATATTGATAATTGAATATTAATAATAAACTTCCATTTGGGTTATAATTTAAAAAATAACTGAAATAAAAAAAGGTAGTAGAATATGCTTTATCGATAATGATATTTTTTTGCTTTAATTGTTTTTTGGGATAATAATGGATATTTATGAAATTAATAGTGCTAACTAATTATTTGAAAGTAAAAATAAAATAATGATGACTCGTACTTTAATTTCAATACTAAGATTCGCCACAAAAGAATTTATATCTTAACCAATATAATATATAAACTCAAAAGGTCAAGCGGTTTATACTGTTGAGAATAAATTATAATTTTTAAGAAGAAATGAATAGGGGTAATTTTAACTTGAATAAGAAATAAAATTTAAAAAATTTGAATTTTTTGGAATATTGAGTGAAGATGGATAATACTTAGTTTCATGGGAGTTAGGTGAAAACAAGATCCAAATTAGAAAATATCATGAAATACAATGAATAACACATAAATATTTTATTAAATTTATTATTTTTTGTGTAAAGAAACCAATTCTCCTATTTTTCTGATTTTGTTAATTTTATTCCTCATAACTTATCGAAAACTTAAAAACTATATCGTGAAGTATAATTTTAATCTTTAGACCATAAATATTGTATAAGGTATTATCAAATTATCGACTGTAAATTGTTATGTTTTGATATATACTTAAAAATTCTGAAATATTTTATTGTGAAAAAAAAATTTTTTAGAGCAGGAAAGTAAATTGTAGTGTTCGAATTATAAAAATGAAAGGGAATTGTTTCTTTAATTTCTAAATACAATAGTTAAAAAAAAATCATACATCACTAAAAAGTGATAGAAATCAAGCATACTTAATATGTAATCACCTGATTTTACAAATAAAAAAAATATTAGATTTCTTTTATTTAAAAATTAATATGGAATAATTAAATTTAAGTATTAATTACCCAAATACTTTAGGGAATTAAATATTTAAAAACTTTTTAGTTATCTTTGTTAAAATGCTGTTCTATTCCAGATAAATTAGTTATCTTATAGAATTAATCGAATTCAAGTACGCATTTTTAAGATTAGAGCAAAAATTTAAGTAACAAATAATTAGAATTAACTTTACAAAATTACATTTTTTAATTTCTTAAATATAAGCTGTAACTGAAAATTTATAAATGTTAAAGAATCCTGTTTATAAAGATTATAAAAATAATAATCAAATATTTTTGAGTAAATTCTATTTATTAATTCATTATGTATCTAATGTATAAAGTAATATTTATTTAATATTCCATTTTTTGGATAATTAAAAATATAATTTCTATCAAATGTATTTTTTCTAATTATTGTTTATTTTAATTAAAGATCTATTCAAATATAGAATAAGAATTAGAAATTCAATCTTAGATTAAGATTTAGAAAAACTATATAATAATATTTAATAATATTTTGTGATTTATAGTATAAATTATATAAAATGATTTAAATTGAATAACAAGAAAATATTGGATAAAAAAGAAAAGTTCGTGACATAATTGAAAAATTGGAGAATCATTTGAGATTAGATGAAAAGATTTCAAATTTACAAATATAATTAAAGAAGATGAGATTGCAAATTACAACTTCGATTGATAAGAATAGCATTAAAGAAAAGATATCTCAATTAGAAGCAGCAATATTTAATTACGAAGAAGAAAAGAAAATTTCAAACTATACAGATTAAGAAAAAAACAAATTATTAGATAGCATTAGAAATATAATTCAATAAATAAGAGTATCAATTTGTATTGATTTTAGCCATTACCATATTCTTGTGAAAATAAAAGGTAAATACATAAAAACTTAAAAAACTTGAATAGATTTGAAGAACATTTTCTAATTTTAAGGGTTAAATCAAGCAATGAAGAATTTGTAATTGAGGCTTCTAAAATCCTAAGTTTAGTATGTGATAAAAAAAGCGAAATAAAAAGAGTAATTAATTAAACAAAAGAGGATACTAATGATGATTAATAACAAAAAATAAATCTGTAGATTAAATATACTGATATCGAAAGAGTAGAAGATTATAATAATTAGAATTAATTTTAAGAAACTCCAACTTTATAAGGAAATATATTAGAACAAATAAATTTGGATAAATAAAATAAAATATCAAATGAGATTTAGATTAAGTAAGATGAAAAGGTTTAAGAAAATGAGTAAATTTGTGAATAAGAGAAATGTTAAATATGTTTTGCATAAAAAAGAAAATTTGTTGCGATTCCTTGTGGACATTTTATTTATTGTTAAAATTGTAAAGAATTGGTTCTTTAAAGACTAAAATGTTTATTATGCAGATAAAATGTAATTTAAATGTTCGAAATATTTGCATGATCATAATAACATGATTATTTATACTTATCAAATTAATAATTAAGATCTCAAAGTTATTTTCTTTAAGCTCCAACTTTAGTGCTAGTACCTTTAAAAAGTTAGACTTCTTCAGTTTATCGTATACCATTAACTAGTTTATTTTTTTTAGGATTGTAAGGTTCAGCAACAATTTTAACATCTTCTGATTATTTTCTAGGTTAAGCTACTCCAGTTTTGCCATCTAATCTAATTCCTTTTCCAGTAAACACAGATTATTATTATTATTATTATTATTATTATTCTTATTCCACTCCAAGAGTAGAATTGTTTTTAATTAATTTTTGAGGAGGCGCTTCAGTATAATCCTATTTTTAGAATATTTAAATACTAATGGTTATAAAAAATCGATTTCAACATCTGCTTCATTTATACATACAGCAAGTTTCTCTGTTTATGGAGTTACTGAAACTATATCAATCATATATTTATTCTTATTGAATGTTATAGTGATAGTTTCACCTTAAGTTAGACATATATAATTTCTTAATTAATTTTCTAGAATAGCCCTAGGATCAGGTAGATCTATAAATGCAGTCTCATGTGGTTAAATCTTTATTAATTTACCCTAGATATATAAATATAAATAAATATACAAGTGGTAAACTTTATTCAAGGCTGATAATTACCCAACAATTCTCAAAAAAGTTCATATTTTCAAATAACCAATCTGGTATAATACAAGAGCCTTCTTCTGCCACAAATTCTAATACTCCTACATATGTAAATTTTTATGATAATGTTGATGTAATTTTAAAGATCATGGGTCCATTTTGTTTAATAAATATTAATTATTGAAGTGCTGATGCTGGTAGCAAAATCTTATTTCCATTATTGATTTATGGTCTACCATAACTGGATGCCGAATGAACGGTTAGATGTTCTACATATGTTTGTCTTTGTGTTGATCTCTGATAAAACATTTTGTGATTAGGAATAATTGTAATTAATATGAACTGATAATCCCAATGTGAATTAAATTATTTTTGATAAATTAGTTGTTATAATAATCTTATGGTTTCTGATAAAGTACATATAATGTAATATAATGAAAAAATATAAGGAATGTTTATTTACATAGAGTGGGTGAGAGTTTATAATTAATTTATATTGTTAAATTCAAAATATGCTAAAATCTTTGTTTTTATTGGGTGTTTTGTTTTGTAGTTGTCTAAGCAAACATATAGAGTATTAAATAGTGGAACTTGAGGAAGTCAATTATAAAATAGTGATAAAAGTAATAGATTTTTCAGCTTATGCTCTTTCAGGTGTATTTATAAATGTGAAGTACTTGGTTATGTAAAATTTAGGAATGGTAATTCAGATATAGGAGAGAAGAATCTAATGACAGATAGTAGTGGTACAGTTACTATAACTGGAAAATTTGCAAAATAAAATTCATACTAAATAATTGCTGTTGCATCAACAACTTTCAATAATATTTAGGCATCTGCTTAAATTAATGGAATTGTTGATCAATCTGGAACTATAGTTTTCAATGGAAAAGTCTAATTTACATAATCTGATGTATATGTCAAAGATGAATTTCAGCGTGGCTTAATATTTGTAAATATCAATTCTAATTAAAGATAAAAACGCTATCCAATACAAAACCATTACCTGGAGTATTAATTAAATTTACTGCTGTTTATTTAGATGTGTCAAAGTAGACAAAAGAAGTCAACTTTTTAGCAATAACAAATGAAAAAGGAGAAGAAAATGTACGTTTTTTATTACCTACCACTGGAGGTTCATTCACCATTTTATATACAGCATCTAAATTTGAATATTGGAACACTTAACAATTAGATAGAAATTCTTAACATTTCGTTTTATGGCCGTATTAGAATTCTTTATTATATTAGAGAATAGAAATATGAATTATCAGTTAATATTGAGCTCTAACCTGGACAATTTTAATATCTTTTGACTGCCTTAATATAAGATTCAAATTTAAAACCATTACAAGGAGCTAAATTTTAAGTTACAGGAACTAATTTAGGATCAAATTAATAATTAATAGAAAATAATATTATTAGTGGATCTGATGGAAAAATATCAATTATTTATAATCTAAAAGCTACTCCTAAATTGCATTTGAAAGAATTAGTAACTAAAGACGGATATCAAAGTTATAGTTCAGAATTTGATTAAGATTTTGATCTCAATATTAAAAAAGATCAATTTACAAAGGATTTAGGAATAATTAAATTATAAGATGCTTCTGGAGATTTATAAGTATAATCTATCTTAAATTATTTGTTAGATTTCAGGTATTATTAAAGACTCTTCAAAAATATTTTAATTTGTTTAAGGTGCTGAAATTGTGTTCACTATTATTGATAGTATTTAACCAGTAAAAGTCTTAACTGATGCTTAAGGAAAATTCAATGTACATATCTTTGTACCATCAAATTAAAATTTATAAGTTAAGGCAAATGTGAAAGCCAAAGGATTTATTGATTAAGATATTCCACCTAAATAAATCAATGTCCCTTCTAAATAACCTTTTTTATTACAATATGATATTGTACTTGATAGAAAGGTTAATGAAATAATCATCAAAGATTAATTAGTAGATCTAAATGGAAATCCTATCTAAAATCCGAAAATTAAATTAATTGAAAGTAATCCTCCCATGAATGATAAATCGCTCTATAATAAAGAGATAATAGGAAAATAAGAGTAATTAATATTATTTATTTAAATAGTGGTACATTTGAATATAAATTTGCTTGTTATGAAGATTAAAAGTTCACAGCTACATTTGTATTTCAAGTTCAATAATTTGTACCTGTTACTTACAAAACAGCTGAATTAGAATGTAAAAATTAAGACTTAATTAAAACTTCAATATCTTTATCTAAATCAACTTCCCTTCTAACTATTAAGGGTAAAGTTCTTGATGTTGATTAGAAACCTATGAAAGGATTATAACTTACATTTAAATCTGATCCAAATTTAACTATTGCTAATCCAAATTTAGTAACTGATGCAAATGGTGATTGGTAAATTGACAATTTAACTGTTATACCTTAGAATAATTATAAATTTACAATCGAATATATGAATGATATTAAATAATTGACTTAAGTATCATCTACATATACACCTTCAATGGATAAATAATAAACTTATACTTTTCCAATAATTGGATATTAAAGATTTGTTAAAGTCAAATTAACTGGTAGAATAACACCTTCTGATGGAAAAGCATCTGTTCCAATACCATTGGTGATTACTTGTGATTCTAAAGGGAGAGATGGTAATCCAATATAGGTGGAAACAACTACTAAGGAGGATGGATCATATTCTGTTGATTTGGAAACATTGGCAGGATCAGATAAACCTTTATAATGTGTAATTACTAATGCTTAAATTAAATTGCCTGGATAATCGGGTTAATCTGGATCAACTGGATCTAGTGGATCTACAGGATCAACAAATCCTGTCTCAGTTTCAAGTGTTTAACCTATAAAAATTAATGTTGAAGTAAAAGGTCCAAGTTGGTCTTCTAGTACTAATATACCAATTACTTATAACAGTGTTGATATTACAATAAAAGGGATAGTGAGTGATAAAACAAAAACAATAGGAGTAATAGAAAACACAGATGTAGTGTTAATAATTACACCATAAGATATCTATGTTTAGAACAAACACTTATTGGAATAATATTTATTCTATAAAAGACATTATCAGAATACATTATCATAATCAAAATTAAGCACAAAGACTGGAAAGGATGGTTCATATGTATTTATTTTTAAAGCTGTGTAAGCATATACTTTAAAATTTTAAATTTAAGCATAAAATCCTTTGTTTAAAACCGAGAATAAGATAATTGAAGAGAAATGTTTATAATCTATTACTTTAAATGAAAATATTGAATTGGATAGAATAACAATATTAACAAAATTACATTCTACTTTATTCAGTAGTGATAAGAAACCTATTCCAAATGCTACTATTAAGATGACTTAATCAGAACCTTTGATGAAGGATTCTAAATATTATAATATAGAAATTAAAGGCGATGATAAAGGATCATTTTATGCTAATTTTGAATGTTACAAAGATTTTGAATATATTGTTACATTCTAAATAGATGTACCTTAATATGAGGAATAAAAAATTAAAAGTTCTAAATTTAAATGTGATAAAGAATAAATTGAATTGAATCCTATAACTTTAAATTTATAGAAGTTAGAAATCAAAGGTATTTTAGTAGGAAAGGTAGTAGATCCTCATGGTAAACCAGTTGCTAATTTACCAATTACTATCACAACATAACCTGACAGTGCAACAATAACAACAAAAAGTTAAAGTGATGGTACTTGGACAGCTACAATTTCTAAAATTTATCCTAATACTGAATACAAAGCTATTATTTAATATTAAGATATTAATAAAGAAAATTAGAAATTAGAATAGAAATTTTCAGTATAGAGTGATAATCAAAAAATATCTGTTTAGGATATTAATTATATTGATTTGGTAGATGCTAGGATTATAGGGAAAATTGAGTTAGAGAAAGGTATATTATCATAACCAGTAACTATGAATTTGAGTTGCTAAGGGTTTAAGGATTCAAAAGGTCCAATTAATAAAGATTTTACAACAGATAAAAATGGAAATATTGATATTTCATTTTAAATATTAACTAAACATGATGATAAAATTGAATGTTTTATAAAACCAAAAAATATAATTATAGATACTGGATATAAAGTTGAATTAATACCTCCTAATTTTGAAGTAAATGGATTAACAATAAAAAGTAAATTCTTATCAACATTATTTACAATAAATGGCAAATTGATTGATGAAACGAAAATTGAAGAGAAATTATCAGGGATATCAATAAATCTTAACTTAAAATAATAAGATCCACTTACTAATTAATAAATAAAAATCAAAAGTTTAAATGATGGAACATTTACATTAATATTCGAACTTCTAAGAGGTATTAATTATGATGCAACAATTACTGTTGATGCTTAGCCATAATTTTAAATTACTAATTATAATATATAGTTAATTGGAAAAGAAGAAAAATAATCAATTAATTTAAGTATTTCATTAAAGAGAGTTATAATTGATTGTATAATAAATGGATCCTTGATTGATTCTAAAAATAATCCAATCTAAAATGCAAAGGTTGAAATCTTAAGTTCGATACCATAAATGTAGAATAATTTATTATACAATAAATTAGTTTAAGCAAATAAAGGGGATTTCTCAATTCCATTTTAATGTTATAATTAAGTATCTACCACATTAAAAATGGATATGTAATCAGATGCCTTTCCTAAATAACCTTTACCTCCTCAAACTTTTACTTGTGGTGAAAAAGATCTCAAACTTAAAACAATATAAGTATCCACTAAAACAGTATAAATAACAGTCTCTGGTGTATTAACTGATAAAACTGGAATTTCGAAAAATGCTTAAAATGCAGATATAGAAATAGTTTTAACTCCACCAGATCCTTTAGCTACAAATCTTAAAACTAAATCTGATTCAAATGGAAAATATACCTTAACTTTTGGTGCTGTCTAAGATTAAACTTATACTGCTGTCATCCAAATAAATCATCCAGAATTTAATCCCTTTAAATCATCTAATATTGCAATAACAACTAATAAAGATTAAACTATAAATCAAGATGCTGCATTAGATAGAATAATATTATAAGCCACAATATCATCTACTTTGACTGATCCTTAAGGAAAAACATCTCCTATTTCAACATTAACAGTAGAATCACTTTAACCTATTGTTAAAGGAACAGAAAAAAATAAAATAACTAGTAATACTGATACAAATGGTAAATTTAATCTATAAATACCTTGTTATAAAAATACAGAAGAATCTTTTATTTTAGATGTTTAAGCTGATAAATATAAAGACACAAAAAGTGATAAAATATCTTTTTTATGTAATGGACCTTAAATTTAACTACCACCAATTAAAATAAAGTAAGAATTAACTCCTACTAATACTAAATTAACTGTTGGAGGTGAAATCATTGGTCCAAAAGGTAAAGGATAATCTGGAGTCTAAATAACATTAATTACAGATCCAGTTACTAAAGAATATAATGCTAAAACTGGATCTGATGGTAAATGGTAATTATCAGATGATTAATTATAATTTGGAATAAAATATTAAGTAACTGAATAATTTTTAGATGCTAGTGGATAAATACATAAAATTACATTACCATTTTAAACAAATGATGAGAAGTCAGAATTGATGTTTCCATAATAATTATACGATGATTATTTACCATTTGAAGTGAATGGTTAAGTTACTTCTGAAGGAGGAATAGCTCCAACCAATGTACCTGTTTCTATGTAATGTGATGGTTATGGATAAGACAAAAGACCAATTGACATTAAAACTAATACTGATAATTTAGGTCTTTATTAAATAAAGTGGAATATGTTAATGAATTCTAATTCTAAAGTTTAATGCTTTGTAATTACTTAAGAAACAGCTAAATTTAAATAAACATCCTATTAGTTCTATATTAATCCAAATAGTGAAATTGTAAAGGTATCTACTTAAGCCTAAGTAACACCAGAATTCAAAGGATAACTTAATAAATATTATCAATATTCTTCTATAAGTGGTGTTGTAATGGCAGAATTTGATTGTGATGGTAGATTAGATTGGAGAGGATTAGAAGGAGTCAATATTAAATTAAAATAATGGAATGGTATTACATTTAATGATTTAAAAACTGAAACGAAGAGTGACAAAAATGGTCTCTTTGTTATCAAATATTAAGTATTAAAAAGGTATTCTATATAATTATTAATTAATAGTTAAATATAAAATGAGATGAGATTGGATTTTAATAAAGAAAGCTATTATCCAGCTTCAGCAGATTTTAATATCTATTCTTTTGATCCTTAACCAGATGGTACATATCTAGTCTAATTATCTAATATTAAGATGGTTAAAATTGGAGTTGCAGATAAATGTCCATAAAAAAAACGTAAACATTGATATTTATATATAATATTTATTATACATTTAAATTTTTAAGTTTGTATTAGATTTTAATCAATAAACTATAGTAATTATCAAATCTCAATCAAATATTCTTACCATTTAGATAATCAAAAAATAATTAACAAAGTGATTTTGGATGAAATTCCTGATTACATTTTGGACATTACGCTTTTTAATAATTGCCTTGATATTAATTTATAAAAGATTATTTATTACATTTAGGACAAGAATATTTGATATCCCCAATTGAATTTAAGTAATCTTTATAAAATTTGGTTATTATTTAACCAGTATCCTATTTAAATTATTATTTTTCTGATTCAGTTAAATTATTTGAATCCCAAAAAACTTCCATAAATTCCATCTCACCTAATACATCTAAATCTTTCACTTTAAAATAACCATTATCTCCCCATTATTTACCCCATGAATTAATAAATAAGTAATATTCTGGAGTATACGAAATTAAAACAACAGAATGTCCTTATAAGTACTTATTTGATTGAGGCCCAACAGAACTCAAAATTCCTTTTCGATTTTAATTAAAGAATGCTATAAATCCTTTTTGATTCTCATTACTGATTATTAGAATATTATTTAAGGTTTTTACGTATTAAATTAATTTTTATTCATATTATCAGCCTTCCATTGATCTTCACATAAGACAAATCTTGAAATTATTGGTCTCCCTTAATGTAAAGCTTATTTGATTTGACTAATAGTTTTTAATCTTCGACACTATAATCTATAATCTTAACATGTTTCTTCAACAACTTAAAAGGTTTTTGCTCCTTAGGTCCCATATACTTGTATTAATAGATCCCTTATTCGAAAAAAGCCAGGGTATTCTCCTTCTCTTTTATATATCTTTGAAATCATTATAGAATAAACAGCAGCGATAGAATTTGCATAGCATGTACCCCCATTTTATTAATGTGGTTCAAATTCTCGATTAGAATTTATATATTTTTCTAATGTAATTCTCCCAATCATTTCAATTAATTTATCAAAATCTTTTGAGATTTTCATAAAATAATCAAAAAATTATTTTAATTATTCTGGATCATTAGATTATAAAAATAATCTGCTTTTTCCATCTTCAGATAATTTTAATTTTGTGTATACTTCTATTTATCGTAAAGGAAACTCAAAATTTGAATATTCAGAACTCATTTCAAACATTTTTTTTGCTCCATCTCCTTTAATATAGTCAACTTTTGAATATAATTAATTTTGGTCAATTTTTTTAGATGATGTAATATAAAAACAAAATATAGTAAATCCTTATTCTTTTAATTAGTTAGTATATTGTATAGGATTACCATCAGTTGAATCTCCATCTGATAGAATAAATAAGAATTTATTTCCAAAATTTTAGAAATTAGAATTAAAAGTCATTTTCAAACATTTGATTAAAGGGGTTCCCCCGTAAGAAATAGATTCAAATGGTTTGAATAAATCAAAATCTTCTTTTATCATTAAACTCTATGATAGATCTTTCTAAATTTGAATCTATTTTCTTATTTCGTCGATTGAATTAATCTGGAAATTCGAAAAATTTATCTATTCTTTGATCAAATCTTAAGGAATAAAGCAATCATTATTTAAAACTTTTAGAATATTATCTTAAATCGAGTCTATTTTTTTTAATAGTTCTTCTAATTTATGGAGTTACTACTGAATTGGAAATTTTTTATATCCACTAAAAGCAGCTATTATTTACTTTAATTCATTATTAATTTAAATATGTGTGTTATTTTTTTTATTCTTTATATTCTGAACTTCTATTAATGTAGAACTCAAACATTACAGAATTTAATCAAAAAAATCATTAAATTGTATATAATTATCCAAATTTTTTAATTAATTCTAGATTTCTTTTTGAATTGCATTAGCAAGAGGATTTTAAATTATACCATTATTCTAGAATTAACTTCCAATAAAAGCTTAGATTTTATATTTTTTATTATTTTTTTTAACTTATTTTGGTAATTGATCAACAAATGATTTTAATTAAGCTTCATTCTCTTTGAATTACAAATATAGTAACTTTGCTTTGAAATTAGAAATATCAGTCTTCAAATTGTTTAAAGTGTAAAATGAGGATAAATATTTAGCTCCTTTTTCTGTTACAAATTTGTATAAAAGCTGACAATAATCAGTTTAATCATTTTGGAGGAAATATTAAAGCCCTCTTATTTAAGATATTAATTTTAAGATATTAATACCAGATTTTAAGAAGGGCACCAAATCAATTACTTCTACTTCATGGCGGCACCCAAAAGCTGACAAAAAAATAAAATCATCCTATAAATGAATTTTTTGTAAAGCTGCTTAAATTATTTCCCAAACAGAAACTAATCTAGTTTTAGCAGGCTCTTGTATCTAATTTGTTAAATTGTTGTTTTATTCAATTTGTTAATAACATTATTTCATTGATCCTGATATATCTACCAAAATTCCATATAATCTCATATTATTTTAATTCATTTTAATATTGAAATTAATTTTATTGATATTTTTTAAATTGAGATTAAATTGTAAATTCTATTACAATATTAATAAAGCAATTTTTCATAATCCTCTCCTAATATTATGTATATATAATGTACTTGATAATTTTTTAATAGAAATCAAAAATATTCAATTATAATAAAAAAATAAAAAAGTATTTTGATTAATTTTTAATAATATAACTATGATATTATGCAAGATGTAACATAATAATCATCCTTTATATGGCTATTTACGACCACGTTCAAGTAATAAATCTCTTTCAGCACGTTCAGCAGCCAATTTTTCTTATTTTTCTCTTTCTTCTTTATCTTTTTTCTCTTTAGCCTAATATTAAATGAAATACTTACTAATTAGAGATTTGTTTGTTTTGTGGCAACACCCATATCAGTCTTTCTAGATGCAAAGTTATCTTATAACATTCCTCTGAATCTATTAATTTCTAATGTTTATTAAGCATATGCCATTTCTTCTGCTTTTTCTTATTCTTATCTTCTTTTCTTTTCATCAATTTATTCAAATATCCATTATTTTTATTGATCCTTATTAAATTTATTACGTGAATCAAATTCTTTACGATAACTATTATTAATTACGTAAATCTTCTCCATCAAATTCTTTTAGACCACTAATACCTTATCTTTATTGCCAATCAGGATGCTCTCTAAAAATGGTTTCCTTTGTTCGTTTCATATTTTAATTTATATAAAATTTATATATCAATTTTCTTCTTCAAATTATTCCTCCATATATTCTAAATAGATAATAAAAATAATATACCCTCTTCATTAATTTCTTTAGTAGGATGTAATTCTGAAGCCAAACTAGCTTTGACATCACTATTACTTCTATTAACCTTATTTACATAACTTGATGTTGGTCTACTATTTGGAATTTATCGGCTATCTATATAATACATAATTACTCTTATCTAACTGGAAAATTGCCTTTATTTTCTACTTTCTCCCATTAATCATTTTCATCATCATTATCTTCTTCAAAGACTCCATCAACATTTATATTGTAATCATCATCCTCTTCCTAATATTAATCTTATTCTTCAATTTAAGCATTATTTAAATCAGGCTAATCATCATCATTCTCTTATTCATTATTTTCATACTCACCTTCTTATTCATCAAAATTAAATGGGTATTGATCTTTATCATATTTTTATTTATTAAAATAATCTTATTACATCTGTTATTCATAATTCTGTTCTTCTTCTTGTTCCTCATCATTTTAGATTTATATTAATTATAATGGATCTGGATCAGAATGACTTCTTACTAATCCTCCTTTTATAATATATTGTTAAACTGACTTCTATGGTGTCCCATCATTTATTTAATTAATATCTATTTCCTCAACTTTATCTTCTTTAGTTTCCAATAATGCAATCATTTATTCTTATTTACTTCTTAACTATTTATAGAAAAAGAAACCTTTATCTTATCTAATTAAATAATAATTTTAAATTATCATTACCCTAAATTATCATAATATTATTATAATTCTTCAGCTCTAACATCTTCATCATTATAATTTTTATCTAATTCTCTTAAGTAATTTACAAGTGCTTCCCCTTTTAAAGTATTAAGATTCTTTGATTACAAAATAATCTAATAATGTAAATATAAATTTACTTTTGAAATTAAATAAGTGATTTCTAATTCTCTAATCTATTTTTTTGGTAGTATTTTTTAAATTTAAACAATAAAATCCTTTTTTGTATACACATTTTTACCCATAACTTTTTCTATTTAATTTAAAGATCCTTTGAATAATTTTGATAAACATGATTCCAATACTCTTTTTTCAACTTAGTCGTAACAAGCCCAAAATCCAATTGCTTTAAAGAACATACTTCTTATTAATCCATTGTCTTAAGAAATGGATAGATTTGGATTATATGGGTAAGTTTATTAAGGTGTTTCTATCAAAAATCTAGCAAAGTTATTAGCATCAGTTTTATTTAAGAAAAATGGATCATTTATTAATTTTTCAGTCAATTATCCAATTGTAGTTAATTAAGTTGATTAATTGAATAGTAAATTATCAATTTATTTGGAATGTAATGACATAGCAATTAATTTATATTTAATTTCTTAGATGATATGTATAACATCATCTAATTGAATTGGTTTAGTGATTTGTTCAGGAGGTTTTGCACTTTAAATACGTTTAGTTACTTTATTATGTGTTTTGAGAGTAGGACTAAATTTAGGTTATTGAAGCAATTTCTTTTCTTTTTCATATTGTTCTTTTAATCTTGTAAGTTGTGTTTTGAGTTCAATTAATTATTTATCTTTAGATTTTACTTTATTCTACATAGTTTAATCTAATTTAGAGTATTCTCTATCAAGATCTTAATAAGCTGATATAAGTTATTATAATTATGATTGAAGATTTTTATTATCTGTTTCATATGATTCTATATCTAGTTACAATTATTTAATAAGATTATCTCGTTATGTAATCATATCCTATAATTTTTATAAATCATGCTCTTTTTATTAAGCATATAAATTTTATTGTACTAATTCATCAATCACTTGTTTTAATCGAATTGTTTCATCTTATAACATTTTACGTTCAATTTCCATTTCTGTTAGTTTAGTATATTTTGCTGATTTTTTAAGTGCTAAAATTTCCTATTCTCTTTAATCTAGATTTTATCGCAATTCTTTAATTTAACCTTTAAAACTAAGAATCATTTAATTATCTGTGCTTGGTTTTGCATAAAATCGTTTCATATTTCCTGTAGTCTCTACTTCTTCTATTATTTTTTAACATTTTTATAAGTCTTTCTAGATGATGATTGCAATATTACTTCTAAATTTGTGTTTCTAGTTCTTAATTTAATATTCTCATCTTTCAATTAATTCATTAAAAGTTTAAGTTATAGACTCTCTTCAAATAATTTTTCACTCTCCTTCACTCTATATTATGAAACGTTCTGCACATTTGGCTACTTATAAGGACTTATTATTAATGAATCATAGTACTTCTTATGAAAAGAGACATTCTTGTCGCTTACATGAGATATATTTTATTAAGCACTTGATGGCCTAATTGACCTGTGATTCATTATATTAATAATTATAATGTACTTTAACGATTTAATCTTTCCTTCTCTAAATTCAATTTATAATGAGACTTTAGATAATTTTTATGACATAGATCAACAGAAATCTAGATAAACTGTAAACCTTTTGTAATGAACAAAAAAAATTCAATTTAACATAAGGAGAGTAACAATAAGTAAGAATTTAACATATTATCAAAAAGGTTGGTGGATTAATAATTAAATAAGACTATAAAAGTATTTTTTAATCTTCATTCAAAAGATATAATAATCTGTAGCATTTCTTATTGTAAATAATAGATTAGAATTTTTGAATAGCTTCAATTTATATTGAATATTTAAAGGATAATATTAATTATGGAAATTGAAGATCTTAAATAAATATATTCTAATTGAATTATGGATTATATATAAAAATCTCCAAATTTGTAGAATAAGTATAATTATTTGATTTAGTTTAACAATATAAAAATATAATTTATCCAAAATTTTTAATATATGGAAATAAGAGCAATTCATTATTACTATCCAATTTAAATAAAGATTTAAGGATCAATCATACATCTATAGTTCTAAAATGAATCAATTAAATATCATAATTCTAATTAAATAAATATTAATGAAAATAAAATGACAATAATTTATGTGATTATTAATTTAAATAACAACAATTAATGGAATAATAACAGTTGGCTAGTGAATCATTAGCATCATATTTTGGAAATATCTATGATCAAAGAATACTAATCTCCATCTATGTATTATTTCCCATCATTTTGATATTCTTCTTTCTAAGTCTTAGGTAATCATTTTATAGATTTTTAGAGATTTGGAAAGACTTGAGAATTAAGAGAAATATGACATGACACATTCTCATTATTAGCCAAATATTTATCATAATTTAGTTCCTTTATGGACTAAATAAGGAATTGAAAATTTGAAAAATGATGAACGATATATATAATGGCAATTGCAAAAAGAGAGAGAATTAGAGAAAATGTCATAAGAATCGAGCAAACTGTCATTTCGATAATAATAATAATGATATTTTTAGTATATATATATATATTTCATTAATCACCATCACTTAAGGCTCCTTCTTCTTCATCAATTTTTGTTAATAATCCACTTATTTAATAGTCTAATAACTCCTTTAATTTATTTTGCATAAACTCATCCAAATTATGTTCTTAAGCAAATCGAGCAGCCAAATCAAAAGATTAATCACCTTCATAAACAACAATTCTCTCTGTCTTATTTGGTCCTAGATTTACATCAACAAATAATAAAGGAATTCTTTCATCCTATTCTAATTAATATATAGAATTACTGTCTTACAACTGCCAGATCTAACAATACTCTATTCTTCTTTAGGTTATGATTCATCCATATGAAAATTCTAAGATTAATAAGTATTCATTTATTAAGACTCTTATGATTATAAACTTTTTTATCTTGATGATTATGTAGTTTATTTCAATTAATTCTAAGACTAACTTCTACTTTCTTTATTCTATTAATTTGATTAAATTGATTTATTATTACTTTTATATCCTCTTTCTAACATACCTTATACTTCTTCTCTCCTCTATCTGGCTTATTTCATTCTTTATACTGTTTTATCTACATCCTTATTTACATAATGATTATCTTATTTTTATTATTAACTTCCTTTATTTATAAGACCAGGCTAGAAAGTACATTCTTCTTATTATCTTTCATATTCTATTTCCTCAGTTGTTCTATCTCTTTTTTATTTAGTAGGTTTAGCCAATGAATACAATTACAAATATTTCTCTGATTTCTTTTAATAACTTTTTTTTTCATCATTATTTTAACTATTTTAATTATTATTGTTTATTAATTATGGTTTAAATGGACATTTATCTAATTATTATTATAATATTTCTTATTTCTTTTATTCTTTATGATATTCTACAGCTTTCATTTATAATACTAATAAATCTGCGTGTGTAATTTAACCATTTTCAGGTATATTTACTTTAATCAATTGATTATCAATTAGATTAGCAGTTTATTCTAATACTTTTTCTCTAAATTAATTAGCCAATTATTTTGATTAAGGCAATATTTATGGTTTGTAAGGATTTTGATCTTTCCAATTAGTTTTCTTTAATTCTTCACAACCTAATCTATTTCTATATAAAATATCAAATTATTTTTAAATCTTTTTTGTTTCTTCCAATGTGAAAATGATATTACCATCTTTATCAATGGTTCCTAACTTAGGTTTATCATTTGGTTAATGAGCAGTAACTATTTTATGTTATTATGGTTGTATAGATTTCTAATAATTTGGAACTTCTTCATTTTAAGCAGATGGTAATTCTTTTATTTTAAAATCTGTAATTCCAATTAAAGTTAATAAAAATAAACATAAGTTTCTTTTACTTATACCTCCTAATTCATCTCCTCTTAAAACAGTCCAAATTTCACATAATAAAGCTCTTTCTTCAGATAAACGAAGATTTTCATATTCTACAGCTTTTTCATTACTTTCTTTTAATTATAATTAATTCAAAAATCCTAATCTTTATAATATTTCTCCTAATTTAAGATAATCAATTGAAAATGATACATTTGATGGTCTATCCTATCCTGTTTAATCAAAAATCCAATCTATAACTGTTTCAAATTCTCTAATAAATTTTTAAGCGACTATTTTTTCACTATTGTTAGATGTAAATTTAACATTTACAGTTACTACTTTAGTAGTATTCTTATTCTCTTATACTTCTTTTTATTTCTATAATCTTCTTTAAGCATCTTAGTAAAGAATGTCTTCTACCCTTTGATTACGAACCATATTTTAAGATATCTATTAAATTAATGGTTTATTATCAACTGTAGATTCTGATTATTAAAGTAATGGTTCAGATGGTTTCTTTAAATTTAGATTGTATAATCTTTCATAAGTTGGTATTGTTTCATCTCTATTAGAAAAATTGAATTCATTAGTTTTTGGATGATATGGATGTTATAAATCACGTTCTAATTCATTTTATTTAATTTATTCCAATTTCTATTCTACTCTCATAACATGATTCTATTGATCGAATAAAAATTAATAAAGCGATCTTTTCTCCGAACCGTCATTCAGCGTTTATGGAGCGAATGAACAAGGTCTTAATTCTTCTTATTCATAATATTCTTTTAACATTATATTGTTCTACTTAAATATTTCAGCTTCTTAATTGAGTCTTTCATAGAGAATTTCATTATTCATTTAAGGCATCAATTTCTTTGAAAATATAGATTTTGGTAGATTAGAATTCTACACTTTAAGTGGAGTATCATCAGGAAGATCATCTCCTTTTAGAATTGCTGGACAAGCTGTCATATGTTATTGTTTGGAGTTCATTTTTAAAATATCAGTTAAGAAAATAAAAATATATAAAAATAATGAATTAATCAGGGTTCGAAAAATCACATGTACTTTAGAATATAAGTGATGCTGATAAGTTGTAATTCTACAATAGCACAAGATTATGGCATACTAAATTTAATTATTAATTATTTGATATAGAGGAACTAAAGAGTGTTCATTTTGAAGATAATAAAAAGTTTAACACCATAATCAAATCTATTTAAAATTTCAATAAAGAAGTAATCATTTCTATTTCATGTTTTAGATTTAAACTTTCTTAAAATAAGGTAGAATTATTCCAACAATGCCAACTCGTTACAATTTTTACTAAAATATTGTAAATTTATTAAGAGAAGCAGCAATCGCAAAAGGAAGGGATGCTTAATTGATATTCCTTGAAAAAGTTTATGGTTTTTTTGTATAGAATAACAGAGATGCAATAAAGACACAAGAGAATGAAATAGGTAAAATTACTACAAGTGATGATACAAGATTAATCATTTAAGATTAGACAATGGCTTTACCAAGTAAATAAATTGATGATCAACTCAGGGATTATAAGGAGAAGAACAGAACAATGCATAACAATTGTGATCCGCCATACTTAAGGTATTTGGAGTTATTAATCATTTAGATTAAAATAATATAAAAGAAGACAATTTAATCAATTGAATAATATTGTGCCTCAAATTCAAGTGAAGAGTACCTTTCCTAAAGTAGTCTCATTACCTTAAAAAGAATAGGATGACAATCTACAATAAAGTTAAGAATAAACAGAAGGTGAGATTGCGATTGATGGAGAATTATTAGGGAATGAGGATGATGAAGCGAAGAAAAAAATAATTATTAATATGGTACCTAAGATAAAAGTATTTTAAAAAGATGACGTTAATTTAGAATTTAAAGATTTAAATAAATAATTTGAAAATAGATAAAATTATTAATTGTATTAACCATCAAATTAAGAAATTGAATTAAATCTATAGAATAGATGGATTTAATTTAGATAGAAAGAAGTAGAAGATAAAAAAATGGATGAAGAAATTATTAATTCTATGAATGTTTGGTCTAAAAATAAAGCTAGAATAGAAAAAGAAATTGATAGAAGAATAGATTCATAATATTATGGTAGTAGATATGCTGAAATTGATAAAAGAAGAACTTAATCTGTTGGATTATAAAATTAATAAGATTCAAAAGTAATTAATTTAAAACCATTACCTATTATTATATAATCATAGAATAGATAGTATGATTCAGCTATTGATACTACATTTTTGGAAGGTAAGGCATCTGCATAAAGAGTTGCTAATGCTAGAAGAGCATACAAAGATTTATTAAATTTAAGTTCTACAGATAATTAAACTGATGAATAACCATCATCTTTATCAATTTATGCAACAAAACTTAGATCCAATTCACTTCATAATAAATTCTCTCAATTATTATAGAGAAATAGTCCAACAAGAGTTAATGAATTAAATCTATAAGAAGTATTGGATATAAAAAATAGATTTGCAAAACATAAAATTCCAATTTAAATAAACTCATTATTATCTGGAATTATGGTACCTACTCAATAAGAAGACTTTAATAATAAAATGATGGATATTGGCTAATCTATGTTAGTTAATCCTTTTGAAGAAAAAAAAGGAAAAAAAAAAAAGAAGAAGAAAGAATGATTTAATACTGCAATCTATTAGAATACATTTTAATATAATTTATGAATTTTAATTATTCTATTCATTAAATTTGATAAATTCAATATAAATTTCATCATTAGCTTTTATTTTATTCTTCATTTCTTAATAAATTTTCGATTATTATTATTAAATTACCAAAGAGTATATAATGATGAATAAAATAGTATATAGGATTAAATTAAAAAAATCAATTATTTTATATAAATGACTTCTTATATGCAATCATCCTTTAGTATTCAAACAAAGACTAATTTTGACTTTTTACAACAACCTAGTGATTCCGATTCTGATAATGAATCTAAACAAATGTAGAAAGGGACATAGAAATAAACTTAACACCGAGATGTAAAAAAATAAAAGAAACTTATTGATATTGAATCGATAAGAAATGAATTAGGAGTGAGACCTATTACAGAGAATGTGAATCCTGAAAATTATTATCGTAGATATTCTAGAAAGAGTATTGTAACCTTATCCAATATGATAATACCAACATCATCTATTTTAATTGAATAATTAAGTTAAATTAAAAAGATTAAGGAAATTAGAAAAGAAGTGCCTCCTGAGTTATTAGGTCGTATTTACTCTGAATTTAGGTATGCTAAAAAATATATTTAGATTTCAATCAGTACCATAATTGAATCCTGTTTATCGATAAGGAGATTAAAATAAGAGATTTTATATAATATTAGAAGGAAAGGTGGTAGTGATGAAACCAAAAGAGAAGATGGTTGGATCTAATAAGTTGGATTACAATGAGAATTCAAAGCCTGTTAAAAGGACAGATTAGGATCCATATGGATTGAATAGTGTGTTCCCAGATTACATTATATTGAAAATACTATTTTAAGGAGAGTATGTAAATAAAGAGCTATAAAAGTTCATTTGGAGAGGCTGCTATTAAGTTAGACACAGCTAGATCATCAACCGTTTATGCATTAGAATAGACTCATTTAATATACTTGAGTGAAATGGCATATTTAGAATTAATCAATCCTTATATGAGTGCTGCATTAGATAATAAAATAAATTACTTTTCCAAAACTCCTTTATTTTAATTTATTGAACCATCAGAATTTATGGGTATAATTTTAGAATGTAAAATGATAACACATCATGCTGGTGAAATTTTATATAAGGAGGATGATAAAGCTACTCATATCTATTTTATAATTGATGGTGAGATTGAATTATCAAAAAAAGTAGGTTAAAAACAAATAATTTTATCATCATATGGATAATATTAAGGATTTGGAGAAGTTGAAATAATGTTAAAAATTTCTCGATTCAATAAGGCTAAAGTTATTACACCAAAATTACATGTGTATAGAATAAGAAAGAGATAATTCTTTGATAATTTAGGTAATTATTCTATTTTTGAAAATATGAAAAAGAATTCAAATATTATATTTAAACATTGGTAAAATAAATGTGAAGCTGCTTAATAGACTATTCAACAATAAGATGAAGTAAAATAGTTTTATATATAATTAGATTTTTAAGGCTGCCCAGGATGTTTAATAAAATAAACCAAATTTTTAAGCTAAACATATTCTTAATAAGAAATTAGTTGAATCTCAAGGATAAAAACTATCTTAAGTTAAATTATTATAGAATATTACAGATGAAGATCTAAAGAGCATGAAAATAGTTAATACTTAAAATTAAAGTGTGTTATAAAAAGTATACAGCAATACTTTGCAACAATATTAAGCAAGATTATTGAAGAAACCATAAGTAGTTTAATAATCTCAAGATGAAAATTGTATTAGAAATTAATTTACAATAAAAACATAAGCTGACGTTTAGAATGAAAATAGCACTGAATTTACTTCATTAACATCTAGATCTTCTTAACCAGTGATTAAGACTGAGAATGTTCATTAATCTTATGGATAATTGCCTTCGCTTCACATACCCTAAAATCCTCCATTATAGACAGTATTAGACACTCTTAGCACACTTCCTAGAGTGCATAAAGATAATCTTGTTTTGTCTTTGATGTATTAATAGGCTTTCAAATCAGAGAATCCAGAGAAGAAAGCTAAATAGATTTAAAAGGTGATTTAGGCATCTTATAGAAATGTGTAAAAGCAATTCGAATCAAAAATTCATCATTAAAGTGATATCAACAATATTAGCAATAATTAGTCTATTGATAAACTAAGATTGAAATTTAAATCAAGTAAAACTAATGATCTCAATTCAACCAGAAGTAATTATGTGAGTTTTGTTCAATAAAAATAATTATGTTCTTAAATCAATTGAAAATACATTAAATAATTTCTTTACCTTTCAAAATTATATATATATATATATATAAGATGAAAAAGTATACTGAGAAGGATTTTGATGAGAAAGTAGAGAAAGCAGTTGATAAAGTATTAACAATTATATTTAACCTTAGTATTTAAATAAGAAGGCATAATAATAATTATAAAAAGGGTATTTTCATCACCATAATGAATGCATAATTGATAAATTGGTTGAGAAAGAAAAGTTGATGACAAGCATAGCTAACATATTTACAGAAGTGGCCAAGATCACTTGTAATAAATTAGTAGAACCTATAAAATAATAAATTGATTAATTGGAGTCAGATTTGGCTAAGATTAAAGAACTTGTGATAAAGAGTTTTAATCAAGTAAAATATTATTTTTCATTCAGTTTACTCCAGTGATGAGGAGTGTAGGAGTGTCAGAAAAAGTAATTGAAAGTGGAAAATAGATAGAAATTGAAGAAATAGATAGAGTAAGAAAAAAATTACAAAACCATGATAATATGATAAGTTTATTAATGGATACTTAGTAAAAATTATATATTCTATTATATCTTAGAGCATAATTGAAATAAACCCTTTAGATATTTAACAATTCTGATGATATATAATAAAGTATTACTAGTTGATTATCCTTTAGAGTTATTATCACAATTTGATGATAAAATTTATTAACTCAAATAAGAATTAAATGATACTAAAGTAAATGATACTGTAAGATAAGTTAAAGGTATTTAGATATGATGGATTTATTAGAGAAATGTAATGCTTGTTGGGTTGTTCTTGGTGATGTTAATGAAAGAGTAGAAAAAATGTAGAAGTATTTGGATGAATAAATAGAAAAAAAGAAGTCAGGAAGAGGTTTATTATAAAAAGCTGCTTCATATATCAAAGCAACATGAATATAATTGTTTATTTTATTATTAGTTAAAATAATAATTTTTAAAATGTTTAAATTCGAGAGTATTATAGAATCCTTAGTTGAAATGGTAATTATATATTTAATCAAAAAAAGAAAATGTAAAAGAGTAAATCTGTCAATAATGATAAGGAATTGCAAAAAGAAGAACTAACATAACAAATTATATGTTTCATTGAGAAAATCATTGAAAATACTATATATATGTATATAAGACCAATTGAAGAGTAATTGAGATCATAAGAAACATAAATTCTTTAACTCTAAAGTCAATTCATGTCTTTGCATCATCCTTTCTCTCCAAAAAATAAGGAGATTGTAAAAATAGAGAAATTAGAATCTCCAATAAGATCTAATGAAATTTAAAGTATTAATATATCTTAGTATTATTTGAGACAAAATGATAGATTTAGAAACAAAAGTTCAATCAATTACAAAACAATAGGAGACTTATAATGATTAATTAATTGAATTTAAATAAGAAAATAAGAGTAATAATTATCTATATATATAAATTAAGAAAGCTTTTATTCATATTGGGTATTATTGAATGATTTAAATGAAAATGTGAATAAAATTAAAGATTTTCTATCAACATTAGATTTAGGTGAATAAAATTAAAGTCAAAAGAACAATAATAATAAATTATCAAGATCAAATACAAAAAAAGATTATTGATTATGAATTCTTTATTAATATATCATTTTTATTATTATGTAAAAACCTTATCATTTAAAAATTCTCTTAATGCCTATAATTATAAATTATTATTATTACCGCAGGACACATTTCAGCATCATCTGAACTTTATTTAGCCCTGGCTATTTCTTAATCAATACAATATAAATGAAGTATGCTTTCTATTGAAACTCCAAATATATTAGTAAAGACACTGGCAATTACAAAAATAATGATTGCTAATAATAAAGTTGGATTATATGGATTAATCACAATTCCTCCAAATAATAATTAAGGTAATTCCGAAATGGATCTAAAAAAGAACATTGAGATAGATAATGTAATCATTATTCTTGCTATGTTATTTATTAAATCTCCTAAACCAACAACTTACATTACTATTGAAGGATTATTAGACATAATATCCAATCCTTTTTTAGCAGCATGAAAAAAACCATCTCCTGTCATATTTATTTAAACATAAATATTTTGATTCAAATATTGCAAAAACCTTTCAAAACACCATATACAACATGCACAACACTTAAAACAAAATTAACATCCATCTGTATTACGCATATATTCAGCATTTCTCTATTTTAATTATATGAATACTAAATACATATAGATATTCAAAGAATGATCTAAATATTGATATTAAACCCAATAATAATGCACCTAAAACAATTGAACCAAAATGATAAACAAAACATCTTTTCCATGATGAATTGAGAGGTTAAACATGTTCTTAACCGCTCTTTCCTTATTACCAATACCACACACAGACAGAACCTGCTATTATAAAACTATTAACTCCAATTATTAATGAATATGTCCAAAATGTTGTAAATAACAAATAGAATCCACTAAAATATTCAATAAATGTATATTTCAATTATCCAAAAGGCCATTATTATTATTTATCTCCAGGTTTACCAGTTGAGCATATTAAACTAAATATTAATATAATAATTACAATGCTATATAAATAAATATAATTGATAAAATAAGAGTAACAATAGTTGAAAATACAGGTACTATTACAATACTTACATTTTTAGTAACAAAATCAGATGCTGACTTAATAATTGCAATGGCTAGATTGATTCGTTTGTAAAAACAAATTGTCAAAACTATTGTACCCAATCCAAAACACCACCATACAATTGATTATAATAAATATCCAGTTGGTGATAAACTAATTGTCATATTTGATCTACTTAAATTGATTTATTAATTACGCTGCTTTATATTACAAATAACTATAATAGCCAAAGAAAATGGACAACAAAACAATTATAAAAATGATAAACCAAATTACAGTTTTGCTACACCATTTCAATAAATAAGTGAATGCTATAGTAAAGCAGGTTCCAATTACAATGAAAATAAATAATGTATACTTGGCTCCACTGATATCAGATATTAATTAATGTAAGAAACCCATTTTTAATGCTTCTTAAACTATTTTAAATTATTCTGGATCTGTTGGTATGCAAACTCTTTAATCAACTTTTTTATATATATAAATATGTTACATTTAATGCTGTTATATAAAGTGGCTTAATTACAAGAAGTTACTACTGAATTTACAGCACATTTTAATTATGAATTTTAGGTTGCTCCAATGGGTGTTGTTGTTGTCGGAACAGTTGTACTTGTTGGAGGATTCAATTACAAATGTTTGTGTTTGGCAATTGGAACACTTGGACATTCCTAAACGCAAACAGTCTTCCATAAGAAATCACTATTAAGTGTAGTGAAGTAAATGAATGGATAATCTCTCAATGTCTCCATTCCACATGGTCTATCTTTATCATATTTGTTTCTATTTACGATCAGGGTCATATCCTCGGTCTATCTGTGAAACATTTCCGCTTTGATTCATGTACACGCCTATCCCAAAGATACTCAACAATATGCCGGCATAGAGGATGGCACAAAATACATTTGTGCAGGATCTTCTACTATTGTCTATGGGACCATTGGAAAGGTTAAGCATCAAATTGTTTCCATCTTATAATTACATTTATTTAATTAATGTTTGAAACTTAAAGAAGAAGGTAATAATGAAGTAGTAAAACAATTTAAATACTAGTTAATATCAAAAGTGAATGTTAATTATCTAAATAGAACTGAAATATTAGAATTAATACAAATAATATTTATGTGCTTTTTTAATTGAATTATTTGATTTGAAGGTTATCCTTAAAATTTCTAAACAATAATAAGTTTTGATTGTTATTATTTCTATTTTGTTGATAGTTGTTTATTAAGACTTTAAGATCTTTAATTTAAATTAATCAATGACATAGGATTAGAAATAAGTATGAATGTAATCAATATGATAATTTATATTATAGTCTTCGATTAAAAATAATGATGTTTTATAATGAATGATTGTTATAATTTAAAATTAATATGCAAGATAGTTAAAAGTTGAAAGACTTACAAATTCAATTGAATAAATTCATTTGCAGATTGGAAGAACTTGAAAGAGAGAATAAATACTTAAAGGAACAATTATTAAATCAATAATGTTAATTGATGTAAAATGTAAAAATTATTGATAACAAATATTAATAAATGCATCGTAAGTAAACCTTAAAATTATTCTTAAAGATATCTAAAGTGTTTATACAAATATGGCATATAATAAAGTTGTCTAACTAGTATGATTTAGTAATATAATAAATTAAATGGAATTGAAAAAATGGATTTGAAACAATGTATTGAGAGATTTGGAGTCATTTATGAAAAGGATAAGATTATTAATGAAGAAGAGATGAAATACATTATAAAAGAAAGAATTTCAAAGGATAGCGAAGAAATATATACTCTATTCTTTCCAACAAAAATTATTAGAAATGAATGCTTGAGTGAAAATGATTCATTGTAAATATATTATTTATAGTTTAGATCAAATACATGTACATTCTAATCTTAACGTTGTAAAATTTAATCTTCTTTGTAGACCAATTCTGATATAAATACAGATAGTTTAGAGGAAACAATAATTAATAATTTAACTACATAGAGGTATTTGGAAAAGTTATAATTTGATTATCAAAATGATTATACTTTGCATTATCCCAAAGCTTTCAAAGTAGAACAGTTACTCTAATAATCTAATCGAGACAATCAAATTTTGACGGATAGATCATTAAAGAAGAAATAGGAACGAAAAGGAGGGTGTAAGGGTGAATAGAATCATAGTTCAAGAATTGATGGGAAAGTATCACCATTAAAATAATTAAATTCCTCAATTAATGAAGATAGGATGCGAAGATTTGATACTCATTAAGAAAATGATATATCACAAAATAGGAGAAGATCAAGAGCAGAAAGATTAAAGTCTTAACATTAATGATGTTTAAATAATTCAAGATTGATATTTATAATCAGATTTTTTTTATTTAAAATAAAGAATAATTAATAAAGGGGAGTGTAAAGATAATCTAGAATGTTTTTGGAATTGAATTTTGATGTATCTTAAGGAAGAATAGAACATTCGATAATTTTCTAATATTATAATAAGAAATTATTAATAAAAATATTGTATAATTAATGTCAAAATCACGTAGTTAGTCTTCTATTCCAGCTTTTTTATAGAAAACATATGATATTTTAGAAGTAGATCTTAATAATTATTCAAAGAATCCTTAATTATAAGATATTGTAGGTTGGAATGAAGATGGTTCAGGTTTTTTAGTGAAGAACGTAATAGCTTTTCAAGATCAAGTTTTACCTATGTATTTTAAACACAGGAATTTTGCTTCTTTTGTAAGATAAGTAAATATTAAAAAATTGATATTGATTAGATGAACATGTATGGATTTCATAAATCAAGAAGTGATTAAAAAGAGAATGAGTTCATTCATCCTCATTTTAAAAAGGATCAACGGTAAGTATAATTGTTAAAATTAGAAATCTATTGAAGAAAATAAAGAGAAAATCAGGAGAACATGGTGAAGATTAATTTGCTATAATGGAATTGAAACCCCATCGTAATTAAAATATATCAGATGTAATATTATTATGGATCAAACAAAAATTAGAAACAAATTTAATAGATAATGACCAAATAGTAAGAGTTAGAGAAAGTGTGCAAGATTCTGATTGAATAAAATAATAAAATATTACAATGTAATTAATAATTAAGAAACTAATTGGTTCAAGAAAAGTAAATATTGAATTGATGAGATTATTAGATTTAATGGAAATAAGAAGTTATAGAAATTGAAGGATTACTTTTTAGGTCAACAACAATTATAAGATGATTGTTTGCAAGTATAATAAAAGTATAAAAATTAAGAAACGTGCTCTTGAAGATTTAATTTAATCTGACAATGAGGAATTAATACTTCCTAGTTAGAAGAAGGTCAAAGGAGAGGATTCTGATAGCACCATTGATAAGATGGAACAATTATATGGACAACCTCCTTTGATGTTAACTAATGCTTTAGTTGAGAATGATGGAATGATTCAATTGCTCGATGATCATCAATTCAATGATATCTGCTTTGATTGAGCTATAATTAAAAGACATTTATGTTAAAAAACTAATATTTTTTTAATTATGAATTAATAGTTGGGATCTTATGTTAAATTCTTTCATATCATCAGAGAATTAGAAGAGATGAATCAAATAGATAGTAAACAAAAACAAATACTAAAAGTCAATTTTACAACTAAAGATAAAAAATTGATGAATATACTCAACGACCTAAGTAACAACAACAATCAGATTTTATTTAGATGATGAAGATGAAGAGGAAATCAAATATAGTCTCTTGAACTATCTAAATGAATCACCAATAGAGAAACAAGAAATATAGAGATAAATGAAGCGAACTAGATCTAGTATTACTGATGTCGATCTTATTAAGGGTATAAATTATGATGAATTCAAATTCACAGACACAGTTGCAGAAATGGAAAAAGCTTTAAAGTTAATCACTCATTTTAATTCTAAATTAAAGGATGGATAAACTATAGATCCCAAAGTCAATGAAATTTTCGAAAATATTCGTACTCTTTTCATTTAAAATTCACCTCAAAATAATTACTCTCCTAATCTTATAGGAAGAGGTCAATCACTCAATTTAGATATTAATTATCAAATGGAAGGTGAACTTAGTGAAGCATATAAAGAAGTTAAATGCTAATTTGCAAATTATATGAAAAGTCATTTATTACTTATGGATGAAACTGTTTCATATAATACTATTTTTAGTTTACTGAAAGAATTAAGTAAGAATCTATTGAATTGTGACAATTTTAGTTATTTTATCATTAATCCTAATAATGATATGGAACTTTATCAATCTAAAACTGATAATATTGAATAAATACCTATGGATTAATCTATTTAAGATGAATTAGAAACAATACCTGAAAACAAAATATTTAGGTTTTCTTAGAATTCATCTTTTTGTTCAAAATTAATGTCTATAAATTATCTGTCCTCTTATGGTTTATATGCAAATAATATTGTGTTCATCTATCATTCAAAATAAGATAAACAACTTGAATCTTAAGATATATTATAGTATCTCACTTTTATAACTTTAGAATTGCAAATGAATACTAATTAATTGATGAAATCAAGAATCTATCCATGTTTCTATTACAAACAATTTAAAATGCCAAAGTTTAATTCTTTAGTCCATTATCAATTGCTGACATGATTCTAGATCTTGGAATCTCATTTGTTAGAGCTTCTAAATTTGTTCTTATTGAAAAAATGTATAATATTGTCAGCTAAGCATATAAAATTGATAAGTAATCATAATTTAATGATAGATTATAAACAGATTAATAAGAAATTTAAGTTTGGGATACTGAGAGTGTTTATATAGTATTTAAAGATTAAACTGTAACAGTATGTTTTAGAATCTATTAAATGAATCTTATAAGATAAAGTGATTAAAGATTATATTCTGAAATTAAACATTTCTATGAGAAATATCTTAGATTCATAAGAGAATGTTTTGATAAAAGTGCTTTTTATAAATTCTTTCTAAGATCAAATGATTCACTCATTTTTGAATTTGATAAAAGTGGTCATTTACTATTCCTTTCTAGACCTATACCAAAATAAATTAAATCAAATTTCAATATTCAATTTAATTCACTTTTAATTCATTCCAATTAATTGTCATATAATAAAATATTTGATTAAAATGTTGTATCCAATATTGAAAATTATTTATAAGATCATAAATGGCAAATGATGAAGGATAATGATAAATAATATGAAATTTTCTTAAAAATAGAAGAGAAGACTTATAAAGGATTTGCTGTGATTTTTACTGAGAATATTAAAGGATGGGTTAAAGAATAATTTAAATAATTAGAATCTGGTAATCAATTAGATTCCAAAATTAAAGCCAAAATTAGAAAATAACTTATTTAACATGAAACTATCAATTTTGTTAACAAATTAGAAGAAAACAATCCAGAAGTCAAAGATTCAGTTGCATCTTTGTATATGCCTCTATAACAATTAATTTTAAAACGTTCTAAATCTATAAGAGATATCTAGAATATCCAAAATGAACCAAAAATGAGAAGAACAGAAGCTCCATAAAGATCCAAATTTCTTACAATATAAGCATTGGATCTTAATGAATTTTCTTTAAATATTTAAGATGATTTAATTGATACATTTGACTTTAATATTATGGATTTAACTTCACAAATATAAAAACATAGAGTTGTTTGGGCAATATTAAAAAAGAATGGTCATTTAGATGATTATTCAATACCCTATGAGAATTTACAGAGCTTTATTAAAGAAATGGAATACAATTATAATGTCAATAATAATCCATATCACAATTATGATCATGGTATTACAGTAATGTAAACTGCTTACTATTTCTGTTTGGAATTAGCTTTTACATCTAAAGCCACCATTATAGATAATTTTAATAGATTCGTATTAATGATAAGTAGTTTTGGTCATGATGTTGGACATACTGGGAAAACAAATGTTTTTGAAATAAATAGTTTGAGTGATCTAGCTATTAGATATCATGATAAAAGTGTACTTGAATAACATCATGCAGCATTGACTATTTAAGTTTTAAAGAATCCACAAAGCAATATTCTTGTAAATCTCAATCAATAAGAATTTAGAAATTTCAGAAAAGGGCTTATTGCAAATATTTTAAGTACAGATATGTCTGAACATTTTACTTTATTAAAAGATTTTGAAAATAGACCTAAAGATTTTAATGATTGTAAAATATTAAGTGGATATATTATGCATACAAGTGATTTTGGAGGAGCAGGAAAAAAAACTAATTTATCTATTTAATGGTCTTCAAGAGTGAATCAAGAATTTAGTATCTAATACAAGTTAGAAGGTGAATTAGGATTTCCTTAATAACCTTACATGAAGGATTTACATATTGTAATATCATTTCTTATATTTATAGCCACATATTATGGCTAAATCAGAAATAGGTTTCCTTAAAGTCATCGTTAGACCTTGTTATGCTCTATTAAATGAATTTTTGGAGGATAAACTTAAACATTGTATTGCCAATATTGATGATACAATATAGCATTGGGAGAAAATTGTAAAAAAAGGTGAAGAATAACAATAATGAAAACTATATTTATTTAATTTATATGTTGTGTGAGAATTTAAAAATGTCAGAGAATTTTGTGGAGAAATACCCAGATAGAGTGTAATTCTTAATGATAACTAGTCCTATTTTGTTATAAATTAGTCTTAGATCAAGGTTAAGATTTTAAGATTAAACAACAATTAAAAAGTACTTAGTGAGCAAATCTGATCATTTTTATCATTTTCTTTAAGTAATACGAGAAACTCTACATTTATAAAAATAAGAAAGCCTTTACTTATTCATTAATAATTCTGGTTTAATCAAAGCAGGTAATATATGGATTCATTCTAGAAAGTTAAGTTGATGAAATCTACTAAAAATTTAAAAGTTCTGATGGTTTTCTTAGAATTAATTTAACAGAGTATCCTTCTTTTGGAAATAAATGATACTTACAGAATTCACACTTTTTATTTTCAATAAACCAATATTATATAAGAAATAATAATCCTAAAATATTACTATTTTTATTCATATAATTCATAACATATTTATATGTATAAATCAATTTCTTCTTTAAAATAACTTTGAAATTCATTAAATTATATCTATATTTTAAATCTAAATCATAGTGATTCTTCATTATTAATATTTCAATATTTATATTATCCTATTTATAAATAATAAAGTATATTAAAACAAAAATATTCTTTACTTACAACAATATAATTTACTATATAATATTTCTGTTATTATAAATTCAAATTATGAAAGACTATTATTAAATAATTGGTAAATTTTATTATATAATTATTAAAAATGATTAATTTCTTTTTAAAACTAAATAATGAACTAACATGAATTAAGTTCTGATGATTTGGATCTATTATTTAAAGGAATTTAATCTAAATTGGAAGGAAAAGAAGAAATTATAAATACTTTGATTCCAAAATTTTAAGAAAAATACAAATTTTTCCAAATGTCAGAATCCTCTAAAAAGTACATATCCTAACTTTATATTTAGATTATTAGGAAGATTTTAACTTAGACTATCAGAATTGATGGAAAAATGTAAGAACCAAAATTAATTCAATTATTTGGTTGCCATTCAATAGAAATTAATAACATTTAATATCATTCAAATTCTTGATTAAATAAATAACTCAGGAATCGAAAATAAAGCAAAAGATATTGTACCTTTATTCAGATAACCTACAAATTGGCAATAAAATAATAAAATAAATAAATCTTTGTTTGAATTTTATGAAGATCATTTTTGGAGATTATATGGCATTTTGTTATTGAATGAGTATTTATTTATTGATTTTAAGAGAAAACATAGAAAATATGATACTTTACTATCAATCGAAGCAAGATAATGTTGAACGGTTATTAAAGATAAGTTTAGAAAGAAATAGATAATTTTTTTATATTTAACAATAAAAATATCCATAATTGGCTACTATTGAAAATAAAGCTCAATAAATGAATTTTTCACAAATTAATTATACTATGGAGACTCCTTACCAAAATAGAAATATTAGAATGTTTGGTACATTAACATAAAATTAGAAATTCAATAGATTTAATTCTACAAGTCCTAAAAAATATTTAAGAAACAATAATATAAAAAATGAATGGAGTCTAGAAAATGAAACTTAGGTTCTTGATATTTTCGATAAAAGGCCAAGAATTTATTCTTAAAATAATTCAAATAGCATTATCTTTTCAAACTAAACTGTAAGAGAAAGAACTTAGCATCAATCATTTTCTTAAAACAATAATATCAATGGATAAAATTCTTAAAATTAAACTCCTCAAAATAAAAAAAAAATTAGTTCTATTGATTTAAATTGTAAGTTATATATGAATTATTAGAATCCTTTAATTAATTTGTAGTATCTACATAATCAGTTTCTCCTAAAAGACAATATAAAAAACCTTAAATTAATTAGAACCTTAATTAGACCTTTTATCAGTAATTATTTCCATCTCAAAGAACTAAAAATAGAGCATTTATAATTATGAAAAGCATATTATTTAATGAGTCAAAAGGAATTCATAATTAAGCCTACTCTAACATGTTGTTTAATTAGAAGTAACTAAAACCATGATTTTACTTAATTTATTTATTAATTATCTTTATCTCTATTAGATCAATTAATGTAATTTTTAAATACAAGAACAAAGACACATAGAATGCTAAAAGGAATTTCAATTTAAATTATATTAAAAAAAGAACACTAGACGTATTAAAACACAATTGTTAATATTTTTATTTATAAAATCCTAAAAGCCATAATGAATTATTAATTCATGGTCTGCCCTTGGTGCAAAAGAAGTGTAGGTTTCTTAAGTTGTTGTACTTGCCATAAAAAATATGATTTAGTTATCTGCAATGGATTGTCAGTGAATTGCCCATTATGTATAGATGTATAATATACATTCTATTTATGGTAGTGTAAATTGGATACCTACTATCAGAATGATGAAGACTTATTAGTACATTAGTAATGCCATAGAAATTATAAACGGATGTTTTATCATTGTTAATGTTGCAAGGGTTATTTTTGCAATTGTGTGTAAGACTTTTAAATGAGTTTTAGAGAAAAATAATTGAAAAAATAAATAATTTTAAATCCATGTCCATGTTCTAAAAACAAAAAATGACTAAAAATTTTAAAGTTCAAAAAAAAAATGATAAACTTACTATTTTTGTCCTCATAATCCTTGCTAATACATCAAATTTCAATGTTTATATATATATAAAATATGTTCTAAATATTTCTAAGTAAGTAAATAAATCTCGACTGCCAAAATCATTTAAAATCTTTGAATTCCCTAAAAATAACGACTAAAGAAAATTGATTTTTATTAATTACATTCCATAAAGTGAAATAAGATAATCTAAATATTTTAGAGTGTTAGAAGAAATATATTTTTAAGCTTCTATATAATATCTATTTAAAAGAGATACAATGATTATGAATTATTATAAAGCCTAAAATAATTAAATTTTATAATTTCATATTTTCATGCTTTAGGCCTAACAACAATATTTTCTTTATATAAATCTGCATGAATTTATCTTATTCTCTAAGGGGGTCCTTTTGGATTAACTGTTTAGACTATTTATATTAATTTTATAATAAAATACTTCTTGTTCTTGGAGATAATTATCTATCTGTCAACTATTAAATCGGAATAGCAGAATCATCGCTTGTTTGGACCTTATTTTATATAATAATATATACAAATTTTGCAGCACAATTAAACTATTCTATGTGAGATCCAATATCTTCATTTGATTATCTACAAGATAGATTTTATTGATCTGGATTCCTTGTTGAGTTCAACATATCGGTTAAATTAAAATGAATAGAATCTGCTTCACTTTTCTATATTGATGAAGGTAATATTTTTATTTTATTTACATGACCTTAACTAAGAGCATTCTATAAATAAATCTATCAAATACTTTAGTGTGTCCAGTTTGGTGTGAATTCTGAAAATCATTTGAGAAATTGTTTTTTTTATGTTTAATTTATTTAGGAGTTGAATTTTTAATTTCCAATAAATTAACTTAACTTAGAGCATTTTCATAATATTTATTTTTGCTCTTTTATCTTGTTAATTAAGTTTACACTTATTTTAATTGTTATTCTTTTTTTAATGATTCTTCAATAAGTATTGATTATTTCCTTTAGAAATCATTTTTTAATTTCAAAGCCACAGCTTAACATTGTTCGGCAATTTTCTTTTCATTTATTAACTTTTTTGATAATTCATTTCTTTATTCGATTAATTTGTTTTCCTTATCTTTTAATTACAAATCCTATTATTTAATTTAGCTTTCCAATTTAATATTCTAATCTCTAAATTGATTTAATTATTAATTACTTTTATTCTTGTAAATGCTTTTCCAAAATTATTTTATCCTATTCCAATTAACAAATTTTTTATGCTTATGATTATTCTCTTGTTTAACTAAGTATTTAATATTAATTATTTTAGATTATAGTTTCATTGTGCACTTTATTTAGATCTGCAATTTATTATAATAAGCTTCTTTACTAAATTATTTTTAATAATTACTGCCTATTCATGTGAATAGCCCAAATCTAGGATAGTTTTTTATAATTTTTCTTTTTCTTTTAATTCTTAATCTAATTCAAATGTAATTTATTTAAGTTATAATTTTAAACAATTAGAATCCTTTGAATAAGTCTATTTTTATTACATATTCCAAAATTGATTTTTAATTATTTAATGCCTCTGTAAACTCTCTAGCTAATCCTTCTTTCGAAATTTCATTTTATTTCAGAATTTAAGTAATTTATAGTTAAAAGTCAGTACATTTATGGCACTTTCTACAATATATTTATCTTTATTTATACTTTTCCTTCTTCTCTAATTCTTCATAATCTTGATTTAATTAATTATAATTTTTTTCTAATTTACTAAATTCTTAGCATTTATTCCGATACTAAATATTTATATAAACTTACTTCATATTCCAAAATAATAATCTTTTCATTTAAAATGGTCTTTAATTTAGAAATTTCTTACTCATGTAGTTAATTTAATAATTGTATTTCTTTTCCTCTGTCATGGTTAGATATATCTCCCATAGCTTTCATTAACGACTCATTTAATTTTTTTAAATTCGCTTCCCTATCAAGTGCTTCCTTAAGTTGCATTTCTAATAACTAAGATTTATCCATTAACTGTTTATTATAAATTTTTAAATTATATAGCAAAATTATATATATATAAATTAAATGAATTAGGACTCTTATAGATGGATTTTAGTAGAATAGATTAAAATATTATGCAATAAGTATTTAGAAATGAGTGAAACTGAACTAAAAGAAAAAATACAATAAGCTATATTAAAAGATCAAGATCCTAAATAGTTATTAAAAAAAATTATGGTTTTAATTAGTGAAATAGAAAAAAATGAAGACGAGATATAAAAATAAATTGATCAAGTAAAATTATTAATCATTTAGACTAAAATTGAAGAAATTAAAAAAGCATAAATTTAAGCTTAATCCTATTTTTACAATAATACAGAGACGATTGATACAAGCAATTCATTATATCCATATAATTAGGCCTTGCTTTAGTCAAAACATCCTGGCCTAAAAAAATTATCCAAAATATCTAAACCAAATCCTCATAATAATGATTTTAATAAGTTTAATATACAATCATTTAGTGATGACATTTTAAAAGAGTCAATGAAATTTATTGATGGATAGCTAAAAATATCGAAGAAATATAATTCAGAAAAGCTTGAATTTAAAGCTCTTTACTAATCAGAATATGGTAAAATATATAGTTCTGATAAAAATAATTCTTAAAATTAAGAGTTACAATTTAATATGAAATCTAATAGCGAATAAAGATATCCAAAATCTGATTACTACAGATAAAATGAAATCAAGACGATTGAACAGAAAAAAATTAATGAAAATATTCATAATCAACAAAAAAACTAGAGAAATCATTAACAACATCAAAACGATCAATTATAATAATTAAAAGGGTTAAATATATATTATCCCAATGATGATAAAAATCCCATTCAATTTGGATCTAAATAAGTAGATAAAACCATTGAAAATAAATCAAATTAATAGATCAACCAAAGCTTTTAATAATTAACTGATTAAGAAACAAATGTAAATTAATAAAGTATATAAGAATAAACTGATCTTGAATAACAATAATAGTAATTATAAAGTGATGAATAAACGACTTAAAATTAATAAAGTATATAAGTATAAATTGATATGGAATTAAAATAATAATATTAATAGACTGATTAATAAATGACTTCAAACTAATAAAGTTAATAATAATAAACTGATAAGGAATTAAAATAATTTAATAAAATAATATAATTCTAAATTAATTAATAAAGGACTTTAAATTAATAAAGTTAGTAAGTATAAACTGATATGGAATTAAAATAATTTAATAAAATAATATAATTCTAAATTAATTAATAAAAGACTTTAAATTTATAAAGTTAGTAAGTATAAACTGATATGGAATTAAAATAATAATATTAATAAACTGATTAATAAATGACTTTAAATTTATAAAGTTAGTAAGTATAAACTGATATGGAATTAAAATAATAATATTAATAAACTGATTAATAAATGACTTTAAATTTATAAAGTTAGTAAGTATAAACTGATATGGAATTAAAATAATAATATTAATAAACTGATTAATAAATGACTTTAAATTTATAAAGTTAGTAAGTATAAACTGATATGGAATTAAAATAATAATATTAATAAACTGATTAATAAATGACTTTAAATTTATAAAGTTAGTAAGTATAAACTGATATGGAATTAAAATAATAATATTAATAAACTGATTAATAAATGACTTTAAATTTATAAAGTTAGTAAGTATAAACTGATATGGAATTAAAATAATAATATTAATAAACTGATTAATAAATGACTTTAAATTTATAAAGTTAGTAAGTATAAACTGATATGGAATTAAAATAATAATATTAATAAACTGATTAATAAATGACTTTAAATTTATAAAGTTAGTAAGTATAAACTGATATGGAATTAAAATAATAATATTAATAAACTGATTAATAAATGACTTTAAATTTATAAAGTTAGTAAGTATAAACTGATATGGAATTAAAATAATAATATTAATAAACTGATTAATAAATGACTTTAAATTTATAAAGTTAGTAAGTATAAACTGATATGGAATTAAAATAATAATATTAATAAACTGATTAATAAATGACTTTAAATTTATAAAGTTAGTAAGTATAAACTGATATGGAATTAAAATAATAATATTAATAAACTGATTAATAAATGACTTTAAATTTATAAAGTTAGTAAGTATAAACTGATATGGAATTAAAATAATAATATTAATAAACTGATTAATAAATGACTTCAAACTAATAAAGTTAATAATTATAAACTGATAAGGAATTAAAATAATTTAATAAAATAATATAATTCTAAATTAATTAATAAAAGACTTCAAATTTATAAAGTTAGTAAGTATAAACTGATATGGAATTAAAATAATAATATTAATAAACTGATTAATAAATGACTTCAAACTAATAAAGTTAATAATTATAAACTGATAAGGAATTAAAATAATTTAATAAAATAATATAATTCTAAATTAATTAATAAAGGACTTTAAATTAATAAAGTTAGTAAGTATAAACTGATATGGAATTAAAAAAATATAAATTGAAGAATAAGCAATATCACAAGGATTGTAAATTTAGTATTTATAGCTATCTTACTGTATACATAGTTCAAAAAGTTTTTCTACTACTCTGCATTATCTTTGAAAAATGAGTATCCAAAAGATCTTTAAAAATTGATAATGAGTTAAAATTTAGCAATCTAAGAATTCCAATCATCTTTATTAATAAAATTTCATTTATTAAAAATTTATAATATCTTTTTTCAGATGTTCGAAATTTCAAAGAGATTATAGTAAAATTATAATTTTTGAATGCCTCTAGCTTGAAATGGTTTTCTTTTATTTTTTGTATTTCTCAAAACCGAAATCCTTTAAATATTAAATGAGCATTCATTTTAACAAGGAATTTCCAGTTTAATTCATAATTAAAACAAATTTTTGATAAAAAAGATTAATGAGAGCTAATCAGGCATTAGTTGAATAATAAAAAAGGTTTACTTTTGCTATTAGGCAACCTTCATATATATATTAAAAAGTGTTTAAACTGGAGAAATTGTATTTCAATTCCAAGAGTAGAAAGCCAACTGTTTACAAATAGTTACATCATTCTTTTTTATTTACCATTATCAAATTAAATAAACTGTTTTCAAATTTTAAAAGCAAAAGATAATATATCAGCTATAAAAATATAATCAACATTTAAAATTAAAAAATTTTAAGTTTATCCTAAGCTTATTGAATAAAAAATCAACAGAGTAATGTTAATGATATACTCTTTATTGGCAATTAACTTTTATGGAAGGATAATAATAATTATATGAGAACTAAAATTCAGAAAGTATTATTCAAGCAATTTTCAACAAAATGATGAATTGTATAAAAAAATATTATTAAAGATGATAATAAATATACTAATTCTAATAAAATAAATTTGTGGAAGGATTTTCCCTCCAATTTGTAGTGTACTATTCGAAATCTATTTAGAGATAAGTAAATTTTATGAAATATAATGATATTGATAGGTCTGAATAATTATTACTAGTTCAAAATAGATAAAAGTTTCATTAGAACTAGTTCTATTTTTACTAAAACGTATTTGATGTATAAGGACTTCTAATGACTTAATTAAGTATACTGTTTGCATTTATATTATATAAATATATGTAATTTTAATATAAAAATAAACAGGTTTACTTTGGGGTTAATTTAACTTGGTTATAAAATAGTTATTTTTAATTAAGAACATTAAGATTAAGGTATGCGGATCTGCAGAAAAGATATTTTAGAATGAGATTAATAATTATAATTATAATAATTTATAAATTATTTATTATTTATATTTAAGAAATGGACACACCAATTGGTAAGGATCTCACAAATTAAGTAATTGGGAAAGTTTATAAATTAATAAAAAGAATTGGCAGTGGTGCATTTGGAGAAATTTATTTGGTTAATAAAGGGAAAGAAGAATATGCCATGAAACTCGAAAGAAGTGATACGAAAAATCCATAAATATTTTTTGAGGCAAAGTTGTACAATTATTTGCAAGGATCTGATCCTAATGATAAAGGTATTTGAATTATTTACTCAAAGCCAGGAATTCCTAGAATATATGCTTAAGGCTAAGACGGTGATTATAATTACATCGTCATGGATTTACTGGGTTAAAGTTTGGAAGAGTTATTTAGTAAGAATAATAAAAGACTATCACTAAAGACTGTAATTCATACCCTTTATGATTTAGGTGCTTATGTTGGGTGATCAAATGATTTAACGGATTGAATATATTCATACAAAGCAATTTCTACATCGCGATATCAAACCAGATAACTTTCTAATTGGTTTAGGTAAGAAGGCAACTCGAGTTTACATTCTAGATTTTGGATTAGCCAAAAGATATTTAACTAAAGAAGGTCACATTCCCTATCGAGAAGGTAAGAGCCTAACTGGAACTGCTCGTTATGCCTCTGTAAATACACATTTAGGTTTGGAATAATCAAGAAGAGATGATCTTGAATCACTTGGTTATGTGTTGATGTATTTACTGAGAGGTCAATTGCCTTGGCAAAATATGAAAGCTAATAATCAAAAAGATAAATATTAAAGAATCATGGAAAAGAAACTTGAAACATCTCCAGATGCTCTTTGCAAAGGATTTCCAATTGAAATGAGTTAATATCTAAATTATTGTAAGAATTTAAAGTTTGAAGATAAACCAGATTATAATTATTTGAGAGGTTTATTTAAGGTATATATTATAAATATTCTAGGATGCCTTTAAGAAAATAGGTTTTGAATGGGATTATAAATTTGAATGGATCAAGGATGAATCAATAGGAAAGACATAATCAGATCTATAATCAGAAAATAAGTTGATGATTATGACCTAGCCATTATAATAATAATAATAATAACAATAATAATAATAAT